CCATCACGGCAGGCAGCAGTTCAAGATGCCCCAGTGCGTCAACTGGTCCAGGCTGCCCCTCCTCCCCGCTGCCCTGCCTCATCCTCTAGCAAACCAGGGTGTCCAACCCCAGCCTTTCTGTTGGGGTGGTTCTGGCTTGGGAGAGAGACTGAAGGAGGGAGAGGGGAGCCATATAGCCTGAGAGGGAAGTGGCAGGACGCCATCTTACCCCCACCCCTGCCCATCTGCCCCTGCATGCCTACCGTCTCCCCCACCTCATTCCAGAGTGGTGCGGTAGAAAGAACAGACTTTTAGCGTTGAGTACTTCCCAGACACTTCCTATGCCAGCTAAGTGATTTTTTTTTTTTGTCATTCTGAAAATTGCACCAATAAAGTTTATCTTGTAGAGCTGCAATTGTGAGGTGGGAAAAAACACCTAAAGTGCCTAGCCTGGAGGCTGGCAGAACAAGCTGGAGGTGATGGATCAGGGTGCCACCACACCCGCCTTCTCCCCTGCATGCTTTTGTGGCTTTTCCCTATCTGGCATTCTATCCTCTCCTGTACAACTTCCCCTGTGGTGATAACATGTCTCCTTTTTTGCCTTTCTTTTTCTTTTTTAATTTAAGGATGTATTTGTTATTTTTTTAAAGATTACAAAGTCAGATATACAGAGAGGAGAGACAGAGAGGAAGATCTTCCGTCGATGATTCACTCCCCAAGTGAGCACAACAGTTGGTGCTGTGCCGATCCAGAGCCAGCAGCCAGGAACTTCCTCCAGGTCTCCCACACGGGTGCAGCGTCCCAAGGCTTTGGGCTGTCCTCCACTGCTTTCCCAGGCCACAAGCAGGGAACAGGATGGGAAGTGGAGCCCAGGATTAGAACTGGCACCCATATGGGATCCCGGTGCGTTCAAGGCAAGGACTTTAGCCATTAGGCCACACTGCCGGGCCCGATGTATTTATTTTTATTGGAGAGGCAGATTTACAGAAAGAGAGGGACAGACAGGCAGGGTTTCCATTCACTGGTTCACTCCCCAAATGGCACAACAGCCAGAGCTGATCTGATCTAGAGCCAGGAGCCAGGAGCGTCTTCTGTATCTTCCATGCGGGTGCAGCTTGGGCCATTCTCCACTGCTTTCCCAGGCTACAAGCAGGGAACTGGATGGGAAACGGAGCAGCTGGGACCACATCAACAGAAACTGGACCAGGCTGAAGCCAGCAGCCCAAAACTGAATCTGGGTGTCCTAGGAAGTCAAGTCCTTGAACCATCTCCAGGTACCTTGCAAGGGGCACATTGGTAGGAAGCTGGAATTAGAAGCAGAGCTGAGATTCAAACCCAGACACTTCACAAGAGATGCGTATTTCAACCACAGTGATATTCGCCCCATTGCCTCATCTTTAAAACCTGCACTCAGTGTTCTCCTGGCCTGTGGGACATTTTGTTTTCTCCCTCTTGCTGTCATAAGAAGCATAGGCACTCCCCCAGGGTCCGTGGGCACGAACCCTGAGTTCCCTGCACTCCCCCAGGGTCCGTGGGCAAGAACCCTGAGCCCCCGCCTTATGCTACAACAGGACTTGCAGACTGACCACCTATCCACAAGCCAAGTGTAGCTCTACCACTGACTTTTTGTTCGGCCAAATTGGATGCTTTGTTGTGTGTGTTTGTTTTCCGTTGTTCTGGCATGGGACCTGTATTCTCCATCATGTTATGTTTTCCCCTTGTCTGATTCATATCATGTGTTAGAAGGCATGCTCAAGAAATAACTGGGCGAGGGCAGGGAGTAGGAATCTCAAACTGGAATCCTACGACCCATAGAGGACCTAGGAGGACTTTAGAAGCCCCCTTTGGGGGCCCAGTGTGGTGGCCTAGTGACTAAAGTCCTTGCTTCACATGCACTGGGATCCCATATGGATGCCGGTTTATATCTCAGCTGCTCCACTCCCATCCAGCTCCCTGTTTGTGGCCTGGGAAAGCAGTTGAGGACGGCCCAAAGTCTTGGGACTCTGCACATATATGGGAAACCTGAAAGAAGCTCCTGGCTCCTGGCTTCAGATCAGCTCAGCTCTGGCCATTGCAGCCACTTGGGGAGTGAATTAGCAGATGGAGGATCTTTCCCTATGTCTCTCTCTCTCTTTGTAAATGTGACTTTCCAATAAAAATAAATATTTTTAAAAAGAAGAAGCAAAGAAACCCCCTGGGGTTGACTAGACAAGCCCTGGTCAGTGGAGGGAGAGCATTCACACCTCTCTGAGGTGGTTATTCCTGCCTTCTTCCCTGCTTGCTCTCTCTGGCTTCCCCACCGAATTAACTTGAATTTTAGCCCATGAGTTTAACACAAATAGATCTTACCTAATAATCTTTGTTTTTGTGTGTGTGTGTGAATTTTGAAACAATGATGTCATATGCTCCAGAATTTTCTGTGACTTGTGTTCTCTGACAACATGATTTTTCCTTTGCGTCCGTGTGTTATATGAATGGCTCTGTCTCGATTTTTTAGATTCCATTTTCCTGCTGATGGAGAGACCTTGGGAGGTTTCTACTTTATCATTCTCAAGGGCGCTCCTGAGAACAGCTTTCTGTCTATCTCTCAGGCCCCGGGGGTGGGGACCTGGGAGGGGAATTGTTGCCCTGTGTACAGGTGCCTTCTGACAAAGTGACATTGTTTCTCAGTTGGATCCAGGGGTCCCCACTGTGGATCTGCCACCACTTAACCCTTAACTAACCCTTAATATCATCAGACTGCTGGTGGAGTGGTTACAAAGTGTGTTGTAGTTTTAATTCAAATCATCCGTATTGCAAGCACAGCCAAGCATCTTTTCATACGTTCGTTGGCCGATCGTGCTTGCTGTTCTGTGAAAATTCGATTCCTGTCTTTTTGCCCACTTTTCTATCAGGTTTTCAGATTCATGGCTTTGAGTATGTGCTTTTATTTCAAAACTTACTATGTAACTTTTTGGTTTAATTAAAGGAAGACTGAGCTATTAATTGGACTTATTTACTTATTTGAAAGGCAAAGCGACAGAGAGAAAGGAAGAGAGAGAAGCACTTTGTTCTTAGTTGGTTATCTGTCAGAAATGCTGCCCCAGCCAGCTCTGGGCCGGGCAGAAGCCAGGAGCCAGGAACGCCAGCCTGATCTCCCACGTGATGACAGGAGCTCAAGGTCTTAAGCTATCCTTCCATGTCAGGCACATTAGTAGAGAAGTGATCAGAAGCAGAGGTGCCAGGAGTCAAACTGGCCCTCCAATATAGGTAAGCAGGTTTGCAAGCTATAGCTTAGCTTGTCTGCCACTCTGCTGGCCCTGAAGTGACTCTTACTTATCTATTTATTTACATTGGAGCTGGCATTGTGGTGTAACAGATAAAGCCACTTCATGCAAAGCTGGCATCTCGTGTGATGGCTGGTTCAAGTTCCAACTGTTCTACTTCCGATCCAGCTGCCTGCTCATGGCCTGGGAAAAGCCATGAAAGATGACCTGAGTGTTTGGCCCCTGCCACCCAGTTGGGAAACCCCAGATGGAGCTGTTGGTTCCTGGCTTCGGCCTTGCTCAGTGCTGGCCATTGTGGCCATCTGGGGAGTGGACAGCAGAGGGGAGGGAGTGCTCTCTCTGTTTCTCTGTCTGTCTCCCTCTCCGTCTGTAACTCTAACTTGCAAGACATATAAATCTTGATTGGCTTTGCAAGTCAGAGTTATGAGCTGCTGGGATTAGAACCAGCGTCCATATGAGATCCCGCCTTGTTCAGAGCGAGGACTTTAGCTGCTAAGCCCCACCACCAGGCCCTCTGTGTGATTTTTTTATTCTGCGTGACTTTTACTTCCATTATTTTAAAGAAAAGATTTATTTTTATTTGGAAGGTAGATTTAGAGAAAGATCTTTCATCTGCTGGTTTATTCCCCAAGTGGCTATAATGGCTGGAGCTGAACTGATATGAAACCAGGAGCCAGCAGCTTCTTCTGGGTCTCCCACATGGGTGCAGAGTCTCAAGGCTTTGGGTCATTCTTTACTGCTTTCCCAGGCCCCAAACAGGGAGCTGGATGGAAGTAGAGCAGCTGGGACGTGAACAGGTGCCCACATAGGATGCCAGCACTGTATGCCACCACACTGTCCCTGATGATTCTGTTTTTTCTCCTATGTTAATGAGGTCAGCTATGAGTAAAGATCTTTCTTGTGGTAAACCACTCTCATGTTCCTTGTATAAACATAGCCCTATCCTATGGAATCATCTTTTTTATACATTCAGAGGCTGTATTTGTGATGTCAACCATCTATGACTAGATAATATATCAACCTCAGTTTAATGGCTTCACATAAAACATTTTTTTCCTTCTTACAATTCATTGGGTGGGCGGGTTGGGAAGGACTGTGCTCCACATTTTTGCCTGAACGCCTTTGTGAGATTGCAGCTGTCTGGGGCGGGCGGGGGGGGATGGGGGGTGGCGCTTGGACAAGGCCAAGGACAGTCCATGCACCTGTCATTGGCAGGCTGCCAGCGGTGATTTCCTTGGTTCACATCCACATGGCCTCTCTGCAATGCTGGCTTAGGCTTGCTGAGATGGAAAGAACATTCCAGATGAGCCAGTGGAAGATGAGGCCCCCAAACATCATCTAATGTCCTTCTGTTCCATTTGATTCATCATAGTTAAGTCACAAGCCAACCCTATTTCAGAAGTGAGGACACAGACTCCCTAATGAGAGGAATGGCAAATAACCCGCAGCCATTAAGAATCTACTCCAGTTAGCTGGCGTTTTGTCTGGGAGTTTTCTATGCTTAGGTTCACAAGAAGTCGGCCCATAATTTTCCTTTGTCATACTCTCCGTGTGGGGTTTTAGAATCAAGATCTCATTTGTCTTATGGAAAAGAGTTGGAAATTTGGGGTTTTCTGTTCTTTAGAAGAATTCATGTGAGACTTCAGTGACCTGTTCTGGAAAGATCTGTCCCTTGCCTGTAAAAGCTATTGAACTTGGTGTTTTCATTTTGTGTTGTTTATAGGAAGATTAACTACCGCTTCCATTTCTTTAATAGGACCTTTCAGACTTTCAATTTCTTCTTGATTCAGTTTTGGTAAGTCATGTATGTATACATACACAAATTTATATATACATTCTTGGGAGGAGGATAAAGATTTGCTTATTTTGTTTGAGCTTTCAAAATACTTGGCAAGAAGTTGAAAGCAGCATTATCTTTTCAATCACTGCTCTTTCTGTAGTCTGGTTTTTTTCATTCTCACTTTATTTGTGACTTTCTTCTCTTTATTGCTCTTATCAGAATATTTTATTTGCCTGTTCTTAAAAAACAAACTGCATGTTCTAGGACCTCTGTTTTATCTTCATGATTTCACTGATTCCTGCTTTTATCTTTATGGGAGGCTTACTTCTGTTTCCCTTGGGTTTGTTCCATTCTTCTCTAACTTTTATGGTTGGTATAGCGCAATAATTTCCAGCTTCAAAAGCGGTTTTTTTTTTCTTTTCCCTTTAATTGTGATGTACTGTTGCTCTGTTTTTTTCTTGCTTCTTACTTTTTAAAATTAGGATTTTTTTTTAAGTTTTACAATCTTTTACACTTTTTTTTAAGATTTTTTTTTTTAATTAGAAAGTCAGATTTACAGAGACAAGAAGAGATAGAAAGATATTCCATTTACTGGTTCACTCCCCAAGTGGCCACAATGGCCAGAGCTGAGGCAGTCCAAAACCAGGAGCCAGGAGCTTCTTCCAGGTCTCCCACATGGCTGCAGGGCCCCAAGGCTTTGGGCTGTCCTTGACTGCTTTCCCAGGCCACAAGCAGGGAGCTAGAAGGAAAGCGGGGCTGCCGGGATTAGAACTGCTACCCATATGGGATCCTGGCATGTCCAAGGTGACGACTTTAATTGCTAGGCTACTATGCCAGGCCCCCAAAAATTGTTTGAAAGTAGGCATTTGGTACAACTGATAAACCACTGGTTGCCATGCCTACATCCTGTATCAAAGTACCTTGGTTCAGGTCCTGGTTTTGTAATTCCAGTTTTCTGCTAATGCCTGTTGCAGGAAACAGCATGTACAGCTCAAATACCTGGGTCTCTGCCACAAATGTGGGCGATTGGCTAGAGTTCCTGGTCCCTGACTTCTGTTTGATCACCCACTGCTGTTACAGGCTTTTGGGAAGTGAACCAACCTGTGAAAAATCAGTGTGTGGGCCCGGCGCGATGGCCTAGCGGCTAAAGATCTCACCTTGAATGCGCTGGGATCCCATATGTGCACCAGTTCTAATTGCAGCAGCTCCACTTCCCATCCAGCTCCCTGCTTGTGGCCTGGGAAAGCAGTTGAGGACGGCCCAAAGCATTGGGAGCCTGCACCCATGTGGGAGACCTGGAGGAAGTTCCTGGGTCCTGGCTTTGACCTGGCTGTGACTTGGTGGTTGTAGCCATTTGGAGAGTGAACCAGCAGATGAAGGAAATCTGTCTCTTTGCCTTTGAAAAGGGGCCTGGCATGGTGGCGCAGTAGTTAAGGTCCTCCCATATGGGCACCGGTTCTATCCCTGGCAGCCCCGCTTCCCTTCCAGCTCCCTGCCTGTGGCCCGGGAAAGCAGTCGAGGACGGCCCAAAGCTTTGGAACCCTGCACCCATGTGGGAGACCCGGAAGAGGCTCCTGGCTTCGGAATGGCATAGCATCGGCCGTTGAGCTCACTTGGGGAGTGAATCATCAGATGGAAGATCTTCCTCTCTGTCTCTCCTCTCTGTATATCCACCTTTCCAATGAAAAATAATAAAAATAAATCTTTAAAAAAAAAAGTAAAAGAAAAGCAAAAATCTTACTTTTCCAGTATAATGAATAATTAGGAAGCAAATACACCCATAACTATGTTGTGTGTATATGTATATGTACATATGTATATATACATATATATAACCGGTGTATGTGTGTGTAGAGAGAGAGACTGTCAAAACCTAGAGGATTCCTTTGTCTTCCCCTATTCATAACCTTCTTTCCACTGCAGGTACCTCCTCCCCTTCCCTTCTCCTCTCTTCCCCTCTCTCTGTATTTATTTGAAAGTCAGAGTGACAGAGGAAGAGATAGGAGTGATCTTCCATTGACTGATTTACTCCCCAGATGGCTGTAACAGACAGGACTGTTACAAAAGCAGAAACCAGGAACTCTATCCTGGTCTCCTCCCTGGGTGGCAGGGACCCAAGTGCTTGGACCACCTTCTGGTGACTTCCTAGACACATTAATCAGAAGTTGAATTTGAAGTAGAACAGCTTTGACTCAAACTGACATTCTGATATGTGAAGGGGGTGTCCCAAATGGTGACTAAATCTGTTGTATATGACCGTCTTTTTCAAAGATTTGTTTATTTGAAATGCAGTTACAGAGACAGAGGGAGATTCCATCTGCTGGTTCACTTCCCAGAAGGCTCTAAAGGTTGTGGCTGTGGCTGCGGTTGAGTCAGGCTGAAGCCAGAAGCCTGGAATTGCAGCTGGGTCTCCCACATGGGTAAAGGGGCCTAAATACTTGGACCATCTCCTGCTGCTTTCCTAGGTATATTAGCAGGGAACTGGATTGGAAGTGGAGTAGCTGGGACTTGAACTGGTACCCTTATGAGATGCAGCGTTGCTGCTAGCAGCTTAACTTCCTCTGCCATACTACTGGCTTTTGGCCTGTTTTCCTAAAGCTCTATGTGGGCATGAGAAAAAAACTAGTTCTGTGAAGGTTGAGCACAGTCTATGAATATTTTTACTATCTTTTTAAAGAAGATTTATTTTTATTGGAAAGTTATATACACAGAGGAAGAGAGACAGAGAGAAAGGTCTTCTGTCCACTGATTTACTTCCCCAACTGGCCACAATGGCCGGAGTTGAGCTGATCAGGAGCCAGGAGGCAAGAGTCTCCCACATAGGTGAGGCGTCCCAAAACTTTGGGCTGTCCTCGACTGCCCTCCCCCTCAGGCCACAGGCAGAGAGTTGGACGGGAATTGGGGGTGCCAGGATTATAGCTGGCGCCCATATGTGATGCTGGCACTTGCAAGGTGAGGACTTTAGCCACTAGGCTACAGGGCTGGTTGAATCCTACACTGTTACTTTAAACACAGACTGCTAATCGTTTTTTTGTTTGTTTTGTTTTTGTTTTTAAAATCACCTGCCTGACCTCTGTGGCGGTGTTTGTTAACCCCATAAGCCATTCAGTGTAAATCTTCGCTTGCAGTTAATTTAGCTTATATATTATGAGAGGCCTGAACTACAGCACAGTAATGAATGCTAAAGACCAGAAATAACTTTTCAGCTATCTCAAGTGGCATATGCAAGACTTGGTTTGGAAAAAAAAAAAAAGACTCGGTTTGGGGGAGGAGGGGAGGAGAGGACAGCTGGGAGTGGTGATGAAGGCCTATGCTGTGGACCAGGGCTGAGCCTGGGAGGAAGTGGGCGAAGGCTGGGCTTTGGGTGAGGATTCTTGGCGTGATTCCAGGACCAGGAATCCTGTCACTCGGCTGCGGGTTCTCTGGACCATCCCGCCCCTGGCATGCTTTCCAAATCTGTATCCATGAGTGGCATCAATGGCCTCCTAGACTGCTCTAACCCAGCCAGTGAGTACAACTGGGGAGCCAAGAGGTGCCTTGCCCTTGTCTGCTCCCCATTCCCAACAGCTGGCTACCTGGAGCTTTAGCTGTCCTTCCTTGTATCTAAGCACCTACCCCTTGGATCCCCCACAATGACTTTATTGAAATGAGGGGATCTAATTCAGGGCCAGTAGGAGGGGGTCTGGGGACACAGAGAGGCTCCACAACCTTCCCCATGGTTAACGGAAGATGGCGTGCCCCTGGGAACGCAGTCTCAACAGGGAAAGGGTATCCTTCCTGTCCACAGAGCTGACACGTGGGTCCTGCAGCCACTCCCCCACACCCACCTCCTCAGCCCTCTCCCCCTCCCCACACCCTGTGCCTAGGCAGCCATAGAGCCATGCTCCCCAGGATTCCTAAGCTATTCGGTTCTGCTCTGCTCAGACCCCGCCCTGAACCCGCCTGCCCTCCAGGCTCCCTGGTGCCCGCCCTCTGCCATGGCGTCACATGCACCTGCAGCTTGGGAACCTGATCCAGGTGGAGGGGGTGGGGGTAGCCCTGGAGGAGCCTTTGTCTGGCTTTGGCTAGGCACTTCACATCTCCTTTTGTGTTGGCAGGGAATTTCTCGCGGTTCTCTGCCACTGACCTGAGCCAGCGGTGAGTTTGGGGATTCTTCCAAAGCCTGCAGGGGGAGGAGCGAGGAAGTCTGGGTGCTTGAAAGGTGTGGCTCCAAGAGTCTGTCCCCTTCCTGAAACACTGCCCTCCCCACTCCCCTTCCACGTTTGTGATCTCTAAAAGCCCATGGCTCTGAACGACCTAGGATGTCCGCTTTTCTCTTTTGTAAGGGAGGGCTTGCCAGGTTCCAGAGAGCCTCAAGGCCATGATGAAGAGGAAATTAGAGAAAAGGAGCAAGCCAGTCATCGCAGTGTCAGAGTGGGAGTCGCTGGTTGTTGTCAGTGACACAAAGGTGGGCAGGCAGATAGGCTGTGGGACAGTTGGGAGCGGCAGGACCACAGACTAAACCAGCCTTGGGTGGCTCAGATGGGGTGTGGCCCTGAGGAGAGCCGTGCAAAGGCTGTGGAGTCTGGGCTACTGGTGGAGGCCGATCAGCAATTGTATGCAGAAGCATGCAAAATCAGCACCTGTTTATTTGGCCGCCATGGCCAAAGCCCCATTAGCCCGGGTCAGCTGCCTGAGACCATGGCAGTGGGAGCCAGTCGTGGTCCCTTTAAGATATTGGGCTCGGATTTGTGGTCCTGAAATTCTCCAGCTGACACATCCTCCTGGCTCTGGGTTTGGGATTAGCTCATGGGATGGGGCTGATGAAATCCCAGGAAATTCAGTCCTTATTGGCCTGAGGCCCAGAGGCCCTTTCCAAAGAGCAGAGATGGTCGGCGGCAGTGTACACAAGGCTCTTGTTCTGAGAGGGGAGCTTGCCCCTTTGGAGAGCCCCCACCCCACCCCACTTCCGGTGGGGAACAGCAAGAGAGAGGAGAGGGGGCCCTCCCATCCGGAGCCTGGATTAAGTAGGAAGAGGAGGAGGGGGGAGTCTGCATGGAGGGGGTGGAGCCTGGAGTTTTCCTCATAAATAAGGGGGCCTGGGAAACCCGAGTATCCACATCCAGGAAGTGCTGGGAGGTCAGGTTAGGTGTGGGGTCGGGGCTGTCTGTCTTTCCCAGTTTGTCCTTCCCTTTTTCTCTCAGGGCCTCTCTGCCTCATAGCACTCTCTGCTAAAAGGGTAGCTTCATCTCCCATCTCTCTGGGAGTTATCTTCTTTTCCAGCTCCGTCTCCATCTCCTCCCCTCTTGCTGTTTTTCTCTGCAGCTGTAGTCAACTGGAAGGGGGCTCGGGCACCTGGGCAGGCTCCTCCCTGCGCCGGACCTTCAGCTTCCTCTTGGCCATGACCGGAAAGACCAAGGTAAGAGTCAGCTTGCACAAAGGGGGGGTGGGGGAGGTGGTGCAAACAGGTGGTGGGATCCTAGTGCCTCTCCATCACTCCCTATTACAACCTCAGGGCAATAGAGAGAGCCCCCCTCCTCATCTCCCCATGTCCTCGCAAATCGCCTCTCCTGCTGCTCGTGCCTCCCTTCCAGCTTAGCTCCAGCTGTGGACAGCTGGAAAAGGGAAAGAGCTGGGAGCCTCCGGAGCTGAAGCACGCCTGATCCTCTCTCTCAGGAGTCCTCCCGGGCCAAGAGGTGGGCAGAGGAAAGCTTAGCCATCGGGTATAATAATGATAATGATGCCAACGATCCTTTGACTTCTTGGTAGAGCAACAGGGTTTGCAAAACACGCTTACACTCATAATTTGATGGGTGGGAACAGCAGCTGAAGGAGTTGAAATTAGACCGTGGGCAGAGAGGAAAGCAGAAGAGTGTATGATTAGGGGAGCCCAGACCCACATCGTGGGGGTGGTGGGCAGTTCTGACCCTGGAGGCACTTCTCTTCCCTGTTACTGACCCACCGGTAAGGCTCTGGTAAAATCAGGGGCTAGGCCTGCAGTGGAAAAGGCATTTGCATCTGTTTCAGCTATTGGTAGAGAAGCCAGCCCTGTTTCCACTGATGGCCTCTCCCAGACCCCAGCCCCTAGCCCTGTGAACTCTCCAACCCCTACTTCGCTGTGTCTTCTGGACCCTGAGAGCCCCTCAAGAAGTCTCTAGGCCAGGTTTCCTTACTGAGGGAGAAGGCAGATGGACTAGAGGCTTGAGTCTGTGAGGTGGGGGCAGTGAGCCTCAGGGGAGACTAGAAGTCTTCTAGCCAGTGAGTTAGCAGAGATCTGCCAAGATCTGCCAAGACCAAGGCCCTGGGAATGGCCTGGGGTCATGTTTTCTTGATTCTCTGCTAGTCAACTAAAGATATGATGGGGAAGCAGGCGCTGCTCAGCGACCATCCACCATTGCAGTCCAGATCCCAATGGGTAGGCAAGTGAGCAGTCTGGAGGGTTGGCAAAGAGTGCAGAACAACCAACCACCCAGCAGAGGAGAAAGCGGCAGACACTCTGGAGCTGGGCCAGGGAGCCGGAGGTGCCAGAGCGCACGTCAGGGCCTGGCCGGGGCACGCGTGCCTCTGACTGCCTGGCATCTCCTAAGCCATTATGCTTCCTCCTTGTCCACAGAGTGTGCCCCCCTCCCCACTGTAGTCTCCTCTCCTCTTGTTCCCAGGTCTCAGAGCAGCAATGGGGCCATAAGCAGGTTGCTTTCAGGGGTGGGGCCTGAGGAGAGGGGAGAGAAGGAAGTGGCTTATTCCTTCCTCCTTGATTAGTTGCCTGACCCAAACCTTTTGCCAGAGGTCACCTCATTCAATTCTTATAACTACCCTGGCAAAGATAAAGCCTTTTTCATCTCCATTCTGCAGACCAGATAACCTTGCTGGCCTACAGCTAGTGAAAAGTGGGGGTGCACTCAGAGCTGGGCTTTGCTGGGTGGCCTCTGCTTCCTGTAGCAGACCCAAGTCCACAGTGTCTCCCCCCCTTTTTCTGCCCTTCTTCCACCAGCTTGTGCTGGATGGCCAGGGAAGAGAGTGCTGTTAACTGCACCCCGAATTCACAAGGTCCAGAGTCGGAGGAAGAAAAACAAGCTACCTCCTTGGACAGACTAGCAAGTCAGCAAGCCTGGGAAACCCAGGGGTTCTCTCTATTTGCCTACTGCCTTCCTTTACCGCCAAACTTGAACAGGCACTTTTCAGCAAGTTAAATGGACCAAGTAAGGGGATGGCTACTTTTAGATCCTGGCAGAAACTGTTTTGTTTTTGTATATCTAAAACAAAAAAATCTGTAAATATGGAGAGGAATGGGAATGAAGGAGTTTAGGGAATGGGGTCATGGATGTCAAGGAGAAAGAAGAGGTCTAGCATGGACAGGCCTGGCGGGGTACACACAGGTGTTCTTAACGGTTGACTATTCCCGCCCTGCCTGGCTTTCACCTCCAGGGTGAGAGGCAGGGAAACAGCAGCAGGTGGGATGGCAAGTGGCCTGGGAGGGAGACCAAAAGGAGTTGGAGGTCAGAACCTGTGTTTTCATAGAGATCTGCTGGGTTGAGATGGGGGGATCCCAGAAACCCTGGGTTTCAAATCCCAGGTGGATGGGAGACCCAGGCTGACGGTGTGGCACTTTAAGAGTCTATCCTCAGCTCGCCAGGCCTGGGAGCTAGCTGAGGTCCCAGCCTCCCTGACCCCCCAATTCCCCTGTGTCTGGGCCCCCAGTGGGCGGAGCCCTGAAGCCAGGCTTTTGGCGTTTGGCTAGGCTGTTTTTAAATGTAATGCATTCCTCAACCTTGCCGCCCACAGTTGCTGGGAGGTGAAGTCTGAATTTCTGGGGGTGGGGACTGCTGGTGTTGGGAAGTTCCTGGGGGGCCATCCCTGAAGTCTCCCCAGCAGGTGCAAATCTGGAGGAACCAGCCTGGTGGCTGGGAAAGTCCTTCCTTGCTTCTGTCTTTTCGTCCCACCTGGACTGCACAAGATTTAGTTTCTCCTTCTCTGTTTTCTGATCTTGACTGATCCTAAAACGCGGAAGGGGTGAAGGTTTAGGTGAAGTAAGAGTTGCTAGGCTGGAGGGGAAGGCAGAAGAGCCAGTGTGGGGGGGGCAGGGGTGAGGAGCCCAACCCGCCCAGCCAGTGGTAAGGCAGTACAACCCAAAAATAGTGGCAGAGGCTAAAATTGGCACCTTCAAGAGTGCTGAGTTGGGCTCGAAACCTGCAGCCCAGCCGGGAGCTCTGCTGCCAGATCCGGGTCAGGGGGCTGTTGCAGCCCCCCACCGCGACCTCCTTCCTCCTCCCCTACATTTTCTGCGGTATCAGAAACAGGTAGAATCCGACCAACCTAGAAGGTTGCGTCCCAAGCCCTTTGGTACTTTCCGGTTCTCAGCAGAAATGGCAGGACGTGCAAGGCAGCAGGGAACTGCAAAATGAGTGATTTAGGAGAAGGCGAAGGTGGAGGTGGGTCCCCAGAGACCAGTGTCCGACCCGCCCCCTCCTTCCTGAGCGACCGGCTATGCCCTGTCCCTAATCAGGGAAGGCCGGCTTCTGGTCTGGTTCCGGCTTCCTTTGCAACAGCGAAGGCCTTCCTCAGCTTCTCAGCCTTCAGCAAGGGTACCGAGTCCCCGCTGTCACACACACCCCCTAGCCAGCCCCCCACCCCCCAAGCAGCTGACAGAGATGGAGCTAGAAGGAGGGAAAGCTGGCCTCCACCTCCACGGCATGCGAATGCCCTGGCTCCCTATTGCTCGCCACCAGGGAGACCCCGCCTCTAGTTCCCGTTTGATTTCCCCTCCAGCTTGCATAGCTTCGGTATCCCCCAGCCCACCCAGATCTCGGTAAAAAGGGGTCTGTATTCCGGTCTTTGCTTTGAAATGGACTCCGAAGGCCAGGAAGGAAGTGGCCCCCGGTTTCCCTGGAGAGCTGGAGGATGGATGAAGTCCTCCCGTGCGGTCGGCTGGCCACACGTAGCCTGAAGTTAACGCAGGGAGAGGAAGACTCAACTGCGGGCCGGCTAGGTACCCGTGGGGGTTAGGATAAACAGCTAACAGGCTGTGCCACAGCAGTTGGAGCGGAAACAGGCAGAGGGGCCCCTCAAACCTGTCCAGGGGACCCCCCCCCCATCCCGCACTTCTTCTCCAAGCTGTCCCAATACAGGCCCGGGCGTCCTGTCCCGCTCGCCGGTACCCGCCCTCTCTCTGCTCCGCCTCCCCCTTCCTGAGCTCGGGCAGGGGGGAGGAGACAAGGGTTTGAGGAACTGGCTTTGGGTGCTGGGCGAGGGGAGTCAGACTTCCTGTCCCTGAGCCCGAGCCCACGCGTGCGGGCTGGACCCCTCCCCCTGCCCCCCGCTTCCCCCCATAGTAGCTGGACGTCTGGGTCCGCGCCGCGTCCTTCCCGCCGCGCCATTGGATTATGTCTCGGATCGAATCCCTCACGCGGGCGCGGATCGAACGGAGCAAAGAGCTGGCGAGCAAGGTGGGCTCACAAATCTCTTCTTTCCTCCGCCACGGCCCGCCCTTAGGACACCTCTCTGCCCTGACCCTGTCCCCCCACCCACCCCGCGCGGTTCTCCCGCACCCCCAGCGTCTGTGCGCACCCCGTATCCCCGCCTGCTTCCTGGGCGCCAAAATCGGGCGGAGCGGCGGACGGGAGAACGGCGCGGCCGGGACGGGGTGGGTGGGGCCGGAGGGAGTGGGGAGGGGGTTGGGGAGCTGCGTAGGAGACACGACCCGCGCCTCCGGCTGCGCCGAGATCCCGGGCGAGGGGCGGGCTGGGGCTTGGACGCTTCTCCTTGGATCTGCCGGGACGGTAGTGGGGCCTCGCGAAAGAAAGTTGCTCGGGTAAGGCCAGGAGCGGGAAGGGGGGGGGGGCGCTGGGGTGGGGGTGGGGAAGCCTTCCCGCACCCCCACTCCGCCGGGGGTCGCGTGCTCGGGGAGCCCCCGTGTCTCCTGCCTCTGGCTGTCTCGCCGGGAGAGCTTGGTCCCCCTTTGTCCCCGCCATCCTGCTCATGGGGCGGGCGGGGGTGATTTCCCAGCTTCCTCCCCCCCCACCACCAGCACCAAGGCCGCCAACCCTCCACCCTTGCGAGACAAAAGTCAGCTCCTCCTCTCCAATGGACTTTCCAGCTGTGATTCAGCTCTCCCCACTGGGTGGGTGGGTGGCTGGGGTCAGAACGACCAAGGGACTATCACCTGCAGGTGAAGGGAGCTGAGGTCTTTGTGTAGCTGGATCCTTTCCTCCATCCCAATTCTGCAAGGAACCTGGAACACAGGGTTTCCCCCCAAATCCCTGTCTGTGGCGCCTGCTTTCCAGGCTCCTTTTTCTCCTAACCTGAAACAACGGGAAAGCCTTGGGCCCATGCACTCTGTGCTCTCCCGCCCAAGCTCCCCGCTTAACTCTCTTATCTTCCAGTCTGGAGGCCCTGCACCTGCCATTGCATGAGCCTGGGTGTGCAATTAACTCTGCACACGGCCTGGGTGACCCCGTGGCTTCTCCCATTCCCAGTCGCCTGGATCCCTGTCTTTAGGGGCAGGCCCAGTTTTAAATGCCCTGACCCCTCTATATACTCTAGCACCTCTCAGTCTCCCCAGGGGAGGCAAGGATGAAAAAGTAAGAACTGGGAGAAAGATGATGCAGGCGCTCAGGGCCTCCTGGCCCCTTGGAGCAGCCACACTTGTTTTCCGCATTATCAGAAAGGCCAGGACCCAGCCCAGAGCTGGCTTAATCTCTGGCCTGGCACAACCTCTTCCCTCCCACACTCCCCGCATGGTCAGAGGGGAGAGCAGTTCCCGCTCTTCTGAACGCCCCCAGGGTGGTGGATGCCCCTGACCTGCCTAGCTGCTGGCCAGGCTACCTGTCTGGAGGTTACTGAGTTGGCAGAGGCTCTTTGGACCGGGTAGGGTAGAGGGCCAGAGAGGGAGGGTTGAAATTGCTTTCTACTACCTGGACAGCCACTGGGGATTGGTTGTGGGGCCCGAGACAATCAGAGGCCCGCCCCCCGCCACCCCCCACAAGGTGGCTAAAGTATGGTAGAGTGGTCGGGTATAGTAGCTGGCTCCGCTGCGCTGGCCAGGCCAGGCCCGCCAGGCCCAATCCCAGCTCCAATCCCAGCTCCAAATGTCTTGTTTATTTTTTCAACCGTTTGAGCTGAGACCCTGGAGAAACGCCAAGGGGGGCGGGCGGGAGAGTGTCTTTTTTGAAACCACGGAAATTTGGTTCCACCCTAAAAAGGAAAGCCAGTGGGGGGAGTCCGGGGAGGGAGGTGGGGGGGTAGACCTGGTGTGGCCCCAGGAGTAGAGTGGGGTTCTTCCGGGAAGGTAGAGAGACAGGCTGCTGGCTTCAGCACTGGGGAGACCTGGTAGGCCAGAAACTGTGGGTCCTCATGCTCTGGTTTTGGGGGTTTTGTTTTGGTTTTTGGTTGTGTGTGTGTATTTGCGGGGGAATCCCTCTGGGTGTCTAGAAGAAGCCTGGCTGTTTTCTCTCCCCTGGGGAGACTGGGGATCCTGACTTGGGGATGCAGGGGGCCTGAGAGGCCACAGGAGAAGGGTGGTTGTCAGTTTGGGTTGGTCGGAAGGGGAGGGCCACCTCCGGAAAGCTGTGGTTACAGAAAGGGGGAGTTGGTTCTTAGCCAGCAAGCCCTGGGTGCCCCTTCCCCCTCCCCCATGTGCACCAGCTGTCTCCTTTCTTTTTATACTGTGGTGGGAAGTACAGGCTCCCCCTCCCCTGGTGCTGGAAACCAGGGAGCTGGTCTGGTCCTCATGCTCACCACCCCTTGCCTTACCTGCCTTCGTGGGGCCCTGTTGGCAGGAGGAGGAATTGGCTGTTTCCTGCCCACCCTCCGAGGATCCCCTTTCACAGTGCCCCAGGACGGGCAGCCTTTAGCTTTGCTGGGTTCCTAGTCTTCCACGCTGCCTTCAGCCCTCCACCCCCTCAGTCCTCTCTGCTCCGTTTCCTACTTCCATCAACTCCACATCGACCCAGGCCACTCCACACCCTTGCTCTCTTGATCCTGCTGTCTTGACCCCAAACGCCTCACCTTTGTGTCCCTCAGAACAAAGAGGCCAAGAGACCTGGGACCCCAGCAGCAGAAGGGAGAGCGTGTGGAAGGCAGGCGGAACGGGGAGTGCCTGAGGAGGGACCAGTTCTTTGTTCTGAGACACGGGAGAGGTGGCTGGCTTTGTGTGCAGAGGGGCCAGCACGATGGCCAGGAGACACACGGTCCGGTGGGCACCTCAGGGAGCTGAGACGCTTGACTGGCTTGGAAGGAGAGTTGAGGAACTGATGGTGGATGATTGTCGGAGGGGGGGGATTGGGGGAGGTTGCTGAGACTTTGGGTATGGCTGAGGGGGTAGATTAGATAAGGATTCTAAGGGTCTCCGGGAAGGTTAGGGAAAACTGAGTGAGGGGGGAGGGGAGAACTGTATACTCCGATGGGGGAAGGGAGCCGAAAGCTTGGGGAAGTCACCCAGTGTTTGCTGGGACTTGCTGGGCTCTGGAGCAAAGGCAAAGAAGAGGGGTCTGCCCTTGCCCTGCCCGGGGCTCTGGAACCGGGACCCTAGAATCCAGGAGTAGGCGGATTTGAGTGTGTAACTCCTGCGTGGCACCTGGAAGTTGAAAGGTTATTGTGTGTGCACACGTACATGCCTGCCCTTCTGCATGCCCTGTTACCCATGCCCTGGGGTACAGCTTGGCATGGAAACCACCAGGCTAGGGGGCCCAGGCCCTCTGGACATGGGGAGGTCGTCTTGTTCTCAATCACAGTCTAGTTTGGTAAGAGAGGGGTCTTCTCAGGTACTGACTGGGCTCTTCTGGGTTTGTTTATGTCTGGTGGAGAAGGGATACTGGGGGTGGGGCTGCAGGCAGCAGCTGCCCCCCTCCTCCCAACTCAGCCGGCCTGCCCTGTGCCAGGAGGGCAGGGAGTCCTGGCACAGCCATTGTTCACTTGCACAAACACCCGTCTGTTTGCATCGCTCTCTTTTCCCTCTCTTCTCTCTGCCTGCCTCTCCTGGCCCGACAGGTGTGGCCGAGTGGGGGGCAGGCCAGGGTCCAGGATGCTGGCGGCGTCTCAGGGTCTCTTGGCCTGGTTTTGTTTCCCCTCGCACCCGTCGTCTTGCCTCACGGGGTTTGCCCACCCCCACTGCCCAGTGTCTCATCTTCGTTCACTAGGCAGGCGTAGATGAAGTGCCTTTGTGTGTGTGTGCTGAGTGATGTCTTTCTGTGTTGGTTCTGGCTTTAGAGTGCTTGCTTCCATTTGGCCACCGTCCCTGTTCCCTCAGCCTCCTGTCTTCATCCTGTCCCTGAGATCTGCCTGACACCATCCCAGTTCCGTGGCCTGGCGCCCTCTCCTTCCTCATTTGCTAGCTCTCCAGCTCAACCCCGTGACCCAGCGGCACTCCATGGCTAGTGTCCTTCTTAGCCAGTGCCCTTGCACCACCGTCTTCTCCAGTGACTGGGCCACACATGGCTGCTCCCATTGCGCTGGAACTCTCTAGACCCCAGACAGACAAACAGGGGTCTGGGCAGAGCTTTTCCCACTCCCGCCCCTGCCCACCCTCATCTTGGTGCAGCTGGCACCGAGATGGGTCCGAGTGCCACGTGGCTGATTGAGACAAGGGCAGCTGAGAGCTTTGGCCTTGTCTAAAGAAGCTGTAACGCATGGGGAGGCTCTGCCACCCACTGGGGGACACAGGAAGCCAAGGGTCAGCTTGATCATCGTGTGTGTGTCCCTTTGCATCTCAGCTGGCCTTGGTGTATTGCAGCAGCTGAGCCCTGGGGCCTTCTTCCACTTGCCCGTCCTTGTTTCCCAGAGTGGCCTGCAAGGGAGGAAGGCCTAAGTTTGTCTTGGGACCTCCCAGAGAAACCGTTGTGATCTTAGGCTTACAGAGAAAGAGGAAGAGGAGGAGGTACCAGTGAACAAAGGACCTGGGCCAGGAAGGTAGGGCCTCCCCATAGCAGGGATGGGATCCCAGGACTTGCTTGCTCATTTCCCTGAGTTCCCAGGCATCTGCTGATATATCCTGGTATACGTGTCATATACCAGGTGTTGTATTGGTTGCTTTTACCTAAAGACTATGAGCCAGCGAGAAAGGCTTCCTATGGGGTTTGTGAGAAGGCACAGAATAGATGCTAGGTGCAGAGGCCAGAGCACAGCCAGAGGGACCTCTGGGTACCAGGCTGGGTGTTGTGGACTGTGCAGAGACAGGCAAGGCCCCGACTCGGATCATGCTGGTTGGCACACTGTATCCTGGAGGTGACACAGACTCTGGTCTGCGCCCTCTCTCCTTCCTGATGCAAGCGCAGGCCATCTCTGGGACAATAGTGCTAGGCAGCGCCAGCCAGGGCCCCGCCTGCAGCTGGCCATGCCCCTGCTGGGCTGTGCTGCTGCTATGGCTGCTGCCCGCTGCTGGCCCACCTAGAGGAGAGCGCTGCCAGAGAGGGTGAGTGTCAGCAGGTAGAGGGGCAACAGCCAGCATCCTTGGGCACTGATGCCAGGGAGGTCCAGGGCCCCAGATAAGGCTGTCACTGTCCTCCTTCTGCCTCCTTTGGCCACTCCTCGCTGGCCTGGAAGGTGGGTTCTTGGGGAGGGCAGAGGGCAAATATGGAAAGGGGGTGGGTGCTCACTGCAGGAAGTAGCTCATTTTCTGCCTGGGCGGGTTCACGTTATCTTTTTTGCTACTATTCTCAAGTGTGTGTCCCTTACCTGCTTTGAATCCAAGTGTAAATATAAGTGCTTCCGCTTTCGGTTTGTGTGGAGCAGAGCAGGCCAGGAGGGTGGGAGAGCAGGGGAGAAAGAGTGCGTGGGAGTGGGAAGACATCACGGGACCTGGTTTGAAGGTTCTGCCGGAGTTGTTCTTCAGAGGGAAATACGACCTTCAAAAGACATTAAATCAATTAAAGAGCTATAATTTAGAACCAGACAGATGGAGGTTACACCAAAAAGGGAATTTGGTGATGATCCAGGTAGGGAGGGCGCGGAATGGAGACTGGGAGGCTGGGAGGAGGGTTTGGGGGGCCGGAAGGGGATGTCCTGTTGGTGCCCGAACTGAGCAAGGTGCTGGTGGGGAGGACATGGAGGGAGAGGTAGGGGTTGAAGATGCAAAGATAGGGCCTAAACAGGCCAGGAGCTGGGTGAAGGAGGAAAGCAAAGTAGGGAATGGGGATGAGGAGGACAGGAGGGAAGACATTGGGGCAAATAGGAAGTCTGCAGACCTTATGGCCCTGTGCGGCCAGCGCCCCATGGCCCCTACATTGCTGACTCTGCTTCTTTGCACTTCCCCTTTTCTGCCTTAAGCACCAGGCCCAGAGTGCTCCCACCCCCAAGCTGGGAGCCAGGACCTGTGCCCTGGGGGCCACCCACTGAGTCCTAATTCTCCATCCTAGAGCCCCTGAGAATTCACATCCGCCTCTCTGAACCTCAGAACCAGTGGCCTGCCCGCCCCCACCCCTCACCAAGGAGTTGGGGTTGGGGAGGCCAGAGGCCAAGGAGCTGGCTTTGTGGGAAGGTGGAGGGGCCTTGCAGAGGGACAGGGGAGAGGTCAGGATGTAAGGCCCTAGAGAGTAGGTGACAGGGATGGCCACTCACAGTCACCCCAGAGTGGTGTCTGAAAGGATTCCCCAGAAAGCCCGAGGGAGCGGTCCCAAGTTCCATTCCCCTGGGAGGGGAGGAGGAAAAGTCAGGCTGCTGGAGAGCTTTTCTGTCTGGAATGAGCCGGAGGGCCGGCTGGGCTTCCTTCCTTAAGAGTCCCAGTGGAGGAGGGACCTGGATGGAAAGCTGGTCCTGTAGCCTGTGGGTTGAGTTGGAGGATGGAGGGGGACATGCACCAGCTGCCTAGAGTGCTGCAGAGGGAGGAGTTAGGGGTCTGGGAGCTTGACATCCAGGCTGGAGGTGGCAGTGGGGCAGTGGGAGGGGGCACAGCGTGCCCCCTTGAGGTGATCCGCCAGGGCCTTCCTGCCCCCCATCTCCCCCCCCCCCCCCGTGACTGCCACAGAGACAGCGGCTCCAACACTGGTTGTCATGGTTATGAGAGGAGCTAACTCCCGTAGATTGGAAAGCGCTGGTGAGCTGGCACCCTCTGCTTCGCCTGCTCTCCCTTCCTCTCTTGCGCATCTCTCTTTCCCCCCTACCCCCACCCCAGCACGGGAGGAGAGAGTACAGCAGCTCGGGGGCGAGCAGAGCAGGGGCTGGGAGGTGGAGTGAGGACGCAGAGACCTAGAGCCGGCAGGATGAGTGGCAACAGGAGGCAGCCCAGCCGCAGGGGCCAGGTGGGTCTGGGGCCCAGGAGCCCCCTAGAAGCAGGCTGCTTGGAGCTACTGGAGTGCATGCCTCTGGCCCTGTGGAGGATCAGCTCTGCTTTAGGGACTGGTGCCTCATCAGTCCTCTGATGTGCTCCAGCATCACGGCTCTGCCTTTTCTCATCTCTGTCTGCAGACCCGGGAGAAGGAGAAGATGAAGGAAGCCAAGGACGCCCGTTACACCAACGGGCACCTCTTCACCACCATCTCCGTGTCGGGCATGACCATGTGCTACGCCTGCAACAAAAGCATCACAGCCAAGGAGGCCCTCATCTGTCCGAGTGAGTCGTGTGGAGCTTGAGTGGCGCTCTGACTTGCTGCTCACAGACCCCTCTCCTCCCCCTTCTTCTGCTTGTCCTCTGTGCCCTGCTCCGTGAGAGCCACTGTCCTCCCTGAGTCCCAGCTGGGCCCCGGTGCCAGGGCCGGACGCTTGATCCCCCTCTGCTTGTGCTAACGCCGAGAGGGTGGGGGCTGGTGACGGAAGACATAAGCAAGAATAAAGCTGAGAAGGGGGAAGGAGGCCGTTGGGGGGGCCGGGCGGGCTCCCCTGGCAGCTGTCACCCACTGGGCTCCCTGCAGCAGCTGCTGAGGGTCAGGGAAGCTGACTGGGAAAGAAGCAGAAGTGTGTGCGTGTGTGTGTGTGTGTGTGTGTGTGTGTGTGTACGCATGCACACACACGGGCTGGGTGGAAAGCTTCCAGCCTGGTGGCTGGGGTTGCCCATATCCTGGACAGGGTATTTAGGGTGGTCCCCCTTGCCCGTTCCCTGTCTGGGGGAACCCTAGAGCTCTGTTGCTAGCATCAAAGGCCAGGATGAGGACCCTGTGTCTCAAAATTTCTAGTGTGACTACACAGTGAGAAAAGAGGAATACAGCAGGAATGTGTGTGTGCCGGGAGGTGGGGGCAGAACTGCTGACCTCCAGCCAAGTCCGAGGGTAGCCTTAGAGAGACAGAGTTCAGGCCAGGAATTGCTGCCTTCCCCAGGAGGTGCTGGGCAGAAAAGGCTCCCTGGCCACCCCTCCCCCAGTCCCTCTGCTGTAGGCTTTGTGAGTTGCAGCCCAGGAGCAGGGCCCCGAAGCTCCCACTTTTGAAATCTCCCATGGGATCTAGGGAAGGAACCCCCCAGCACCAGTCCACGAGGCCTCCCTACTTCCTCGCTGCTCAGTTTAGTTAAGAGGATGAAGAGGGAACCCCATCTCATCCCTCCAGAGACCTGACAGAGTACCCAATCCGGAAGCTCGTTGCCAGGGGAACTGGGGAGGCAGGCGGCACTATTTTGAGAGCAGGTGGAAAGCGGAGGTTCGATCCAGAGACACTAGGTGTTGGAGGGGTGTAGGAGCAGGGGCTCCCAGGGCAGGGATGTTGGGGGGAAGGGCACAGCTGCAACTCCACCTCTGTCTGCCCCCTCTGCCCCACCCTGCTGGCCTTGTATTTGTGGAAATGAGCGTGGTGCTGGGTATTGTCTGAAGGAGTTAGCAGAACTTCCGCTGTTGCTGGATTGGGGAGGGGCAGCCGAGGTAGGCTGAGGGCTGTAGTCTCCTCCAGGAAATGGACAGCAGGGAAAGGGCCGGTGAAGAAGGTGTTGGTTCCGAGGTCTGGCCCCTTCTCCTCTCCCGTCTCCTCTCTTTTCCTGCCTTCCTCTTCCCTCCTCTCCCATGGCTAGCTGCGGTACAGGATGGAGGAGCAGCAGATGGAGTGTGGGAGCTGTGGGCTTGCCTCAGTGGAACAGAACTCCCTGGGCCTGCAGGGAGAAGGCAGCCTGGAGTCTTCAGGTGCAGGGCAGGGGCTGCCCCTACTGTACCACCCAATCTATCAGTTTTGAGGGCTGGCAGAAAAGAGGGTGGCCTCTGGTTTGAATCCATGTCTGGTTTGAGTCCAGCTCTGCCGCAGGCTGTGTGACTCGCAGCTGGTACCTTCACCTCCACAGAAAGCTTGCTCACCTGTAGCAGAATAGTTGAATCACACCCACAGGGCCTTCAGGATTGGGATCCTGTGGAACATACCGTGCCTGGAGTGCTTGTGTTTCTCTTCTCCCCTCCTGGCCCCCACAGCACAGCTGCCCCATCTTCTGTTCTGGAGGAGTCCTTTCTCGCGTTCCTTGCCACTCCCAGCCACCTTTGCGCTTCCCAAGCTGGTCTCTTGACACTAGCAGTCCGACTTCCCTCTAGACCACCCCTCATACCATGTTTGGGTCCTGATGGCCCACCATTCCTGTTGGCTTGATTTCCCTAAACATCCATACCCTTCCTCACTTCATTTCCAACTTGCAGGAAGAGGGGATGGGAAGGAGAGGGGTAGGGGCAGAGGTGGGGGGGGGGTGAAATCTCTGGGGACGTGTGTCAGGAGACAGGGTGCCTGCATGTGGGTGTATCCTGTCCTGTGCCACCCGACCCCCCCTTCACCCTCTCTACCCACCCTCCCAGCCTGCAATGTGACTATCCACAACCGCTGTAAAGACACCCTGGCCAACTGTACCAAGGTCAAGCAGAAGGTGAGACGGCACGGAGGGCAGCGGGCTGGGGGAGAGGGTCATGAATATGCGGTGCCCTCTCCATGCCTTTCCCATTCATTCCCTACCCTGTGTGCCTCAAGCTCCCCTCCTCACCCTGGGACAGCCCAGACCTTCAACTCCAGGCCTCAGCCCCCAGAGTTTGCCAGACTTCCGGCTTACAGATATAGTCCCCACAGCATTGGACCTGGCCATCTGATAACCCCCAGCCACAGTGCCAGCACCTCCTGGCAGGACCAGCCACCCATCTGCTGCCCCAGACCTGTGGGGGAGACCCTTGGGTGACAGCTGCTCCTGGTGTCTCTCTCTTGCTCCCTGCCTCACAGCAACAGAAAGCCGCCTTGCTGAAGAACAACACGGCCTTGCAGTCTGTGTCTCTCCGCAGTAAGAGTAAGTAAAGGAGTTGCTGGGCTCTGCACTCCGGAAGACCCCTGGAGAGGGGTGGCCCTGGCCACTCACCTCATGGGTTCTGCTGCCCCCCTGAGGTCATTCCTGGACACACCACCCCCTTCTTTGGAAGCTGAGAAAGGGGAGGAAGAACACAAGGACTGATTCAGACTTTGTGGCTTAGAGCCTGGGACAGAAGAGCTGAAACGGAGATGAGGCTTAGGGACAGCCTGTCCCCTGCACCTTATGCTGCTGTAACCAGTTGTGTGCTGCGACTGGGGAGCTTAGGTGGCAGCTGACAAGTGCCAGACAGTGTGGTTTTAACAGAGGAGCCCCCCCCCCCAGTCCCTGCTCAGTAACTGCCTGAACCTCTCTATCGTCTTCCTTTCCTTTGATCAGGAGCTTCTTTTAAGTCTCCCACACGGGTTCAGGGTCCCAGGCTTTGGGCCATCCTCCGCTGCTTCCCCAAGTCATAAGCAGGGAAAGTGGAGCAGCCAGGACACGAATCGGTGCCCATATGGGATGCTGACGCCACTGGGTGGAGGATTAGCTTGCTGCACCAGCATGCTGGCCTCCCTCTTAGCCTTTCTGAGCTTCCCTTTGCTCACAGGGTTGTCCCTGGAAAGAGATGAGAGGCAAGGCTCTTGGGGAGTGCTCAAGGTGACTGCATCATTCCTGTTGTCTCCCTTGCATGGGAGTCTAGGAGACCAGGAGGCCGGATGGATCCTGGGCAGGCAGGCACAGACTTTACCCTTTGCCCTCTTGCTCTCTCTGCCCCCCAGCCACCCTCCGGGAGCGGCCAAGCTCTGCCATCTACCCCTCTGACAGCTTCCGGCAGTCTCTCCTGGGTTCCCGCCGTGGCCGCTCCTCGCTGTCTCTAGCCAAGAGTGTCTCCACTACCAACATCGCCGGGTGAGTGCCTGCTGGGGGAGATTGAGAATGGAGCTGCCCCAGGAGTTGGGGAGCTGGGTGAGCCTTCTCCAGCTACATTATAGACACACAGGGAAGGAGGTGGAGGGGCACCTGCCCGCTGCCTCTGGAATCCTGTCCGTGGCACTCCTAGCCGGGAGGGAATGCTCTTGCCCGAGCTGGTAATGCCAACAGCCTCCTAATTCCTTCAGCCATTTCAATGATGAGTCCCCACTGGGGCTTCGCCGCATCTTGTCTCAGTCCACGGACTCCCTCAACATGCGGAACCGGACATTGTCAGTGGAATCCCTCATTGACGAAGGTGCGTGGGCCCGGTGAGGAGCATACAGGCCCGGGTAGGGTCCCGGCAAGGGTATGCGGCTCTAAGGTGCTACCTGATTCAACGTACAGGTGCAGAGGTGATCTACAACGAGCTGATGAGTGACTTTGAGATGGACGAGAAGGATTTTGCTGCCGACTCCTGGAGCTTGGCCGTGGATGGCAGCTTCTTGCAGCAGCATAAGAAGGAGGTGATGAAACAGCAGGATGTCATCTATGGTGAGCCAAGTCCCTCTCCTCCCCTCCACTTTCACTGCTGCCATCCGCCAGTGTCCTGTCTGCCCACACCCATCCCAGGGCCCTTTCCCTGTTAGCCTGTTGGTCGCCACACTGCTGCCATCCCACACATGCCCACCAGACCTCCACCACTGGGTGCTATTATTTTCCAAGATCCCATCTTTGTCCTTGGCCTCAACTTGAAGCTTTTTTTTTCCTTTCTTTCTTTTTTTTTTATTTCATTTATTCAAAAGGCAGAGTGACAGAACTTCTGTCTTTTGGTTCACTCTCTAAATAGCTTCAATGATTAGGACTGGATCAGGCCAGAGCCAGGAGTTTGAGCCAGGTCTCTCACAAGGGTCTAGAGGCCCACACACTTGAGCATTCATCCTTTACTGCTCTCCCAGGCACAGTAGCAGGGATTTGGATTGGAAGTGGCACAGCTGGGACTCAAACTGCCATCTGTGTGGGATACCACAGCTTGCAGGTGGAGGCAGCCTAACCTGTTAACGTCACAGCACCAGCCCTCATCCTCAGTCCTGACTCTGCCTGTGCCATGTCCAACACTATGCCGGGAACCAGGGGAAGCCTGACATTTGAAACTCCCCTGTTCCTCACCCTGAAACAGCGAACAGCTTGTGCTGCTAAAACATTAAAAAAAAAAAAACCTAAAATCTAGTAATGTAGTATGCCAGCAGGAAGGGGCCTTGGAGTCCTCCTGTGGACGCCCTGAGGGTCTTTAGCCTTGCAGCCCCACCCATGATGGCCGTCCAAGCCAGGGTAAAGGCCAGATGTCCGGCTGTGCCCACAGAGCTGATCCAGACGGAACTGCACCACGTGAGGACGCTGAAGATCATGACTCGCCTTTTCCGCACGGGGATGCTGGAAGAGCTGCAGCTGGAGCCCGGCGTCGTCCAAGGCCTGTTCCCCTGTGTGGATGAGCTCAGTGACATCCACACGCGTTTTCTCAGTCAGCTGTTGGAGCGCCGCCGCCAGGCCCTGTGTCCCGGAAGCACCCACAACTTTGTCATCCACCGTTTGGGGGACCTGCTCATCAGCCAGGTGGGAAAAGTTCCCTGGAAGGGATGTGTGCCTGCCTGGTGAGGGCATTTCTTACCTCCCACCAAACTCAGGAGACTGGGGCCAGCTGAAGAGGCGTGTGTCTGAGTGAGGACGGGGTGTGGCATGCGTGTGTGTGTGTGTGCGCGCGCGCGTGTGTGCGCGTGCACAGGGTGAGGAGGGGAGAGATGCTGATGCAGCCCCACCCTCCCCCTGGGGTCCAGTTCTCTGGGCCTAGCGCAGAACAGATGCGGAAGACCTACTCGGAGTTCTGCAGCCGCCACACCAAGGCCCTGAAGCTCTATAAGGAGCTATACGCCCGGGACAAGCGTTTCCAGCAGTTTATCCGGGTAAGCTGACCTTCCCAGACCCAACCCTGGCCTCCTGGGTATGTGAGACTAGCTCAGGAGCCACATTCACTCATATTCTTGTGCATGCTGTCAGCAAGCAGCCCTCACTGCTGCTGCTGCTGCTACTGGTGGCAGCTTCCCAGGTACTTTCCACTCCTTTGGTTGGTCCCCATTTTCACAGCCTAGTCCCTAGAACTTAGGTATCTTGTGTCTCTTGCCCTCTTCCCATGGCCCTGAACCCTGCCCTTTCCTTGTAGAAAGTGACCCGCTCAGCAGTGCTAAAGCGGCATGGGGTGCAGGAGTGTATCCTCCTGGTGACTCAGCGGATCACCAAGTACCCGGTGCTCATCAGCCGCATCCTGCAGCATTCTCATGGTGAGGTGACCCAGGGAAGGTAGGGATAGCCCTCTGGGCAGCCTTCAGCCTTCCCTCCTGGGAGCTAAGGCTGGAGTGAAACTGGCTGAGCTGCCCCCCTCCTACCTGCTTTTCCAGGGATGGAGGAGGAGCGCCAGGACCTGACCACAGCACTGGGGCTGGTGAAGGAGCTGCTCTCCAATGTGGACCAGGATGTGCACGAGCTGGAAAAGGGGGCCCGCCTACAGGAGATCTATAACCGCATGGACCCTCGTGCCCAGGCCCCCGTGCCTGGCAAGGGCCCCTTTGGCCGGGAAGAGCTTCTGAGACGCAAACTCATTCATGACGGCTGCCTGCTCTGGAAGACGGCCACAGGCCGCTTCAAAGGTGAGGGGGCGCTGGCGGGCAGGAGAGCAAGAAAGAGGAAGTAAAAAGTGCATGCCACTCAGCCAGTGGGAATTCCCCCAGTGGTGGCCCCATTTGAGGGCCAGGCTGTTGGGGCGGGGCAGGAAACGAGGTATCTGCTGGTGCAGCAAAGTGTGAATCCTGCATTCAACCTCAGGGACCTCAGCCAGGCTTCTTCGCTGTGTGGATGCCTTTCTCGGGCTCCAGCTTGCCAAGAGTGCTGCCAGGTCTGATGAAGACAAACTCTCAGGCCAGATGACAAAATTAGGGCACTAGGACTGAGGAAAAAGCAGGAACTCTGGAAATTTGGTGGGGTATGGGGATAGGGTCCAGAGGAGGGAGAGAAGCGGGGAAGGAAGAGCAGGTACAGAGGGAGCATGTTGAGGACTTGGGAAGTACAGAGTTGGACAGCGCTGGCAAAGGTTTTCCTACCTAAAGCAGGGCCAGAACGCAGCAGGTTCAGTGCCATGGGGGTGAGGAACGACGGCTGGAAGTGAAGGATGGTGCCTGGGCCCCATGTCCCGGAGTCCCTGCTGCCGGCAGTGTGGGGATTGATTTTACCAGTCCCCACCAGCCTCTTTCTCCTCCATCCCCTTTCTCTCCTTCCCATCCCTCCCACGCAGCAGCTAAGAATATAAACCAGGGGGGGTGTTAAAAATAGCAAGGCGGGAGAGCTATATTTCTGAAGCATTTAGCAAAAGCCCTTCCCTGCCGTGAGCCCACACAGTTCAGCAACACCACCGCCCCCCCCCCCCCACTGAGGGCGTGGGGTGAGGGTGACCTTTCCGGATGGATGACAGGGAGTCTTAGAGAATTGACCTTGGTCGCCTCCCCTAGTCATAGCAACACAGGACCCTGGGGGACTCTCAGAACTCCCTGGGTGGGAGAGTGGGGAGCAGGAAAGGAGCCACAGCAGGGGCTTGCTGGGAGTAGGTGGAGGTGGGTGGGGAGAGGAGCCACACAGGGATGTGGATTGTAAGTCAGATACCCCATAGGGTCTGGCCTCGGATAGGCGTAAGGCCTGGAGTTGATGACCTTGCTCTCTGAATTCCCACCATGTCGGGTGCACTCTGGAGCCTTCTCGCAGAGTCACATGTATTTCCTACTGATACCTAAAGCCATTCTCACTACAGAACCCCACAGCCCCATGGTGGACTTTATTAGTGTCCGTAGCCTCTAACTTAGGAAACTGGAAGCAGTCAATGGGAGGAGAATTTTCTCCAAAGGCACTGAGTGACCCTTGAATCACTTGATTTAAAAAAAAAAATGTATGTATATATACATATATATAAAATAAGTATAAATATTATATATATACTGGGCCTGGTACAGTAGCCTAGTAACTAAAGTCCTCGCCTTGAATGTGCCCAGATCCCATCTGGGCACTGGTTTGTGTCCCAGATGCCCCACTTCCCAACCAGCTCCCTGCTTGTGGTCTGGGAAAGCAGTCAAGGATGACCCAAAACCTTGGGACCCTGCATTTGTGGGAGACCAGAAGAAGCTCCTGGTTTCGGATTGGCTCAGCTTCTGTCATTACAGCCTCTTGGGGAGTGAATCATCAGACGGAAGATCTTCCTCTCTGTATATCTGACTTTCCAATAAAAATAAATAAATCTTTAAAATTTATATATATATGTATATATATATGTATGTATTTCAAAGGTAGATTTTACAGAGAGAAGTAGAGACAGAGAAGGTCTTCCGTCTGCTGGTTGACTTCCCAAATGGCAGCCACGGCCAGAGCTGAGCTGATCCAAAGCCAGAAACCAGGAGCTTCCTTTGGGCCTCCCATGTGGGAGCAGAGGTGTAAGGATTTGAGCCATCCTCTGCTGCTTTTCCAGTCCATTAGCACTGAGCTGGATTGAAAGTAGAGCAGCTGGGACTCAAACTAGTGCCTTACATAAGGGATGTTGGCGCTGGAGGTGGAGGATTAGTTTGTTACACTACCATGCCAGCATCTGATTAGATACATATATGTATAAAGATTTACTTATTTTTATTGGAAAGGCAGATATACAGAGAGAAGGAGAGACAGAAAGATCTTCCTTACACTGTTTTACTCCCCAAATGGCCACAATGGCTGGATCTAAGCCAATCTAAAGCCAGGAACCAGGAACTTTTTCCAGGTCTTCCACATGGGTGTGGGGTCCCAAGGCTTTGGCCATCCTCCACTACTTTCCCAAGCCACAAGCAGGGAGCTGGATGGGAAGTGGAGCAGCTGGGACATGAAGCAGTTTCCTTATGGAATCCCAGCACATGCAAGGCGAGAATTTAGCCATTCTATTCTTAAAACTGCATATGTGAGACACGTGAACTCTGTTACAGATCATCAGTAGATAAGGGGGGAAAAGGAATAGGGAGATGGTCAGGCTAATGTGTCTGGAAAGGCCGTGGCTGATGGTCTGTATACTTGAGTCTCTGTGCCCCACATTGGGGACCTGGATGGAGTTGTGGATTCCTGGCTTCAGCCTGGCCCAACCTTGGCCTTTGCAGTCGTTTGGAAAGTGAAACAGCAGATGGAAGATCTCTTTCATTTTCTCTGTCACTGTCTTATACTAAATCTAAAAAAAAAAAAAAAAAAAAAGAAGAAAAAGAAAGGAGATGTAGAGCCCTAAAAAAGGTGGAGAGAGGAGCAGACAGGGTGAGATGGGAGGCAGGGGTTGAAGCCACCCACAGCAGCTGGCTGCCCTGCACCCTTGGGGCTGACCGTTATCCCACCCCCTCTGCCAGATGTGCTGATGCTGCTGATGACGGATGTGCTAGTGTTTCTCCAGGAGAAGGACCAGAAGTACATCTTCCCTGCCCTGGTGAGACATCTATTCTCTTCTCTCAGCCCCTCTCCACCCACTGCCTCTCCCCCCACAGCCCTCAGTCAACAGAACTCCTCCATAGTCAGCCAGCCAGCCAGCCCGCCTTGGGGGAGGAGGCAGCTGGAGCAGTGTCTGCTGAGTGTGTGCAGACATTGCTCATGTAGATCACTGAGTACCGCAGTGTGACCACCATCCTCATGGTGTATGCACCGTGTTCTGGATTCCAAGCAATCAAGGCGTGATGTCATAGCATCCCAGGAGGACGCACCCCCTCTGTATAAGGGGCTCCAGTGGCTGTGGAGTGGGTGTTCCATGAGTCCTGGAGTTAGACTCCCACGGACACTGTGGGCAAGATGTGTGGCACTGTGATAACAAGCAGATTAGCTAGCAGATGTCATGGCCATGCATGTGTGTACCTGTGAGGAAGGTCTGTCCTCACCGCCAGCTTGCACATGGCGAGTGAAGCCGATTGTTAGGCCAGCTGTGTAAGGTCACACACACAGCTTACTCCTCAGCAGCCCCAAACCTGGTCTCTTCAGTGCCCCACAGTGACTGCAAGCCTGTGAGTACTCGCAAAGGCTTGGAGACTACAGTCCCCTGAGGACCAGGAGTCCACAGACTCACTCCGATCCTCTTATTGGCTTGGCAGGACAAGTCCTCGGTGGTGTCGCTGCAGAACCTGATTGTCCGGGACATTGCCAACCAAGAGAAGGGCATGTTTCTCATCAGCGCTGCCCCGCCTGAGATGTATGAGGTGCACACGGCGTCCCGGGAGGACCGCAGCACCTGGATCCGCGTCATTCAGCAGAGTGTCCGTGTGTGAGTGTGTGTGTGCGTGTGAGTGTGTATGTGTGTACATGCAAGCACCTGTGCACCAGGGCAGGCCAGGTGGCCCAGCACAGGGAAAGTCAGCCACACCCCGTGTCCTAGAAGGTCACGGTTTGTCTGCCCACAGCCCTGAGTGCCTTCCCCATATAGCACGAGCGGAGAAGCAGCGTGGAAGACTGAGGTGGCATCCAGTGGCGTAGCTACCTGCTTGCTGGTGGTATAGTTTGGCCGGCTGCATTCCCATCTCGGTGCGCAGGCAGGCTGTTGCTCTTACACTTGCATAGCACTTTCCCTGTATTTTCTGGTGATGAATCAAGGAGGCACTAATGAACACAGCAACACAGACTCTCAAAGAGCCGCAAGCAAACCCAGTGCTGAGCCGCAGGTCCTCGTGCGCGTTTGCCCTGAGCCAGTCAGCTGCGTGTCTAAAGTCAGGGTGGACAAGGATGAGTCTCTGTGTTCTCAAAGACAATGCCCAGAGTCCGCTAAGGAGGACGTTTTAACTTCTTTAAAGCTTTCAGGGATTGGATTCTTAAATGTGTAAACTTGATGATATTTTGGTTTTTACTGGTACAGTTTAGGTGTTTTTTTGGCTGTTGAGACTTTGGAGCAAGTTTTTCAGAACTCCAAAGTGTGAGATGACCTATTCCAGGAAAATGAACTTGAAACACCTGTTGCGCCAATGACAGGCCCCTCCCCTCGCAGGTGTCTCTCTTAGTAGTACTGACATTTGCCGCCAGGGAAGACTGTAGCTAATATGGCGTGCCTGTGTGTTGATGAGCCTTCTGTAGTGGCTTCACAGCCTTTCATTTCATTTCTAACAAAAGGAGCCCAGGAACAGGTTAGTCATCTCCCCTTTCTGATGAGGAGGTGGAGAGGCCAGCACCAGGTAAACGGTGGAACCAGCAGCCTTGCCAAAGCCTGAACGTAATGTTGAGCTCCATGCCGCCCTCCCAGGTGGCCTTCAGAGAGGTTCCTGTCAGTAAACGTAGAGAATGTGCCTGAAGAAAGGAAAGGAAAGAGAGCAAGCAAAGCCAGGGTGTCCCCAGGAAGGGGAGGGGGCGAACAGAATGTATTGCAAAGGATCCTGGGAGCTGATACCTCATCTGAAGCCTCACTCTGTCCCTTACCTCCGCCCGGCCTGTGCTCTCTCCAGGTGCCCATCCAGGGAGGACTTCCCCCTGATTGAGACGGAAGATGAGGCTTACCTGCGGCGAATCAAGAGTAAGTTTGCCACCTGGAAGCTCACGAAACAATTCGTGATATAGCCATGTCACAGAATACGTTACACTCAGCACAGGGATGCCCACATCCCATCACGGAGGACTGGCCTTGATACCCACTCCTTTCCAGACTCCCGCTTTCTGCTACCAGAGGCCCTGGGAAACAGTATCAGGGCTCAAGTCATTAGGTTCCCTGCCTCACATGGGAGCCCTGCGTGGAGTTCCAGGCTCCAGGGCTTCAGCCTAGCTCAACCCCAGCTGTTGGGGACATTTAGGAAGTGAGTCAGTAGATGGAAAAGTCTCTCTCGTGTCTCCCCGCTGTCAGTCAGTCGTCCATCTTTGAGAGTGGCTGCTCAAGCTCTCACTGTCACATCTGCAACCCAGCTCGCCAGGAGAAGTAAAGGAACAAGGAGAGCTAATGGCTCATTTATTTTTTCTTCTTAAGGCTTATTTGTTTGTATAGGAAAGGCAGAACAGATTTTTTTTTTAAAGATTTTATTTTTATTAGAAAGTCAGACATACAGAAAGGAAGATCTTCATCCACTGATTCATTCCCCAAGTGGCCACAACTGCCAGAGCTGAGCCAATTCGATGCTGGAAGCTTCTTCTGGATCTCCCACGTGGGTTCAGGGTCCCAAGGTTTTGGGTTGTCCTCAACTGCTTTCCCTGGCCATAAGCAGGGAGCTGGATGGAAAATGGAATACCCGGGATATGAACTGGCACCTATAAGCAATGCCAACGTTATAGCTTAACCTACTACAGCCCAGCATGGCACCAATCCCATTTTAAGGGGAGATCTGGAAGCACCTTACATCCACTGGTCAGAATTGAGTAACACAGCAGAGTCTAAGTGCAAGTTAAACTAGGTGCTGGAAGGAATTAGTGAGTTTGAACTAGAGGTTTGAATTTATTAAGATGCCTGCCTCTCATCCAAGTGCTTGGATTAAAGTCCCAGCTCTGCCTCCAATTCCAGATTTTCTGTGCTGTGAACTTGTGAGGCAGCAGGTGAAGCCTGGCATCAGCAGCTTTGTCCAGATCTCCCATGTGGGTAGCAGGAGCCCGAGCACTTGGGCCACCCTCCGCTGCCTTCCCAGGCACGTTAACGGGGAGCTGGATGGGAAGTAGAACAGCTGGGAGTCAAATCATCGCTCATAGGGAATACCAGGACTGCAGGCGATGGCTTAGCTTGCTGTGTCATAGCCCCGACACACATCTGTCCTTTTCACAGTGGAGCTGCAACAGAAGGACCGGGCTCTGGTGGAGCTGTTACAAGAGAAAGTTGGGCTGTTTGCTGAGATGACACATTTTCAGGCAGAGGAGGACGGTGGCGGTGGCATGCCCCTGCCCACCCTGCCCAGGGGCCTCTTCCGCTCTGAGTCTCTTGAGTCCCCTCGCGGCGAGCGGCTGCTGCAGGATGCCATCCGAGAGGGTGAGAGCGCCCCCGGGGACAGATCCAGGCTTGTGTGCTCACTGGCCCAGAGCTGGACACAGACGAGCGCTTGTCAATCCCCAAGTCTGTCAGTGCGCAGCAGGAGTGTCCATACCTGGGAGCAGACAGTAGGAGGAGATCCAGTCCCTGGCACTGTGTGACACTTGTCATGCTGCCTATCAGTCATCTTCAGGGGGCTGTGCAGTGGCACCTTCGATAGATACCCAAGTGTGCCCATGTATGGTGGGTGGGTGAATGGCACCTCGTGGAGTCAGGGTCCCTGCCGCCCTCACCACATCCCCTGTCCTCTCAGTGGAGGGCCTGAAGGACCTGCTGGTAGGACCTGGAGGGGAGCAGCTCTGGACACCTCGAGAAGCACCCCTGCCCTTGGAAGCAGACAGCGGTGGTAACACAAGCCCTGGGGTCACTGCCAGTGAGTGACAGGGCAGGGCACTGATGGGGCTGGTGGGGGGTTGAGGAGCAAGGGGTGGCACCAGAGATTGAGGGGGCAGGTGTTGGGATCCCCAGAAGCTGAGCCAGCCTGTGTCCCCTTCGCTTCAGATGGTGAGGTCCGAACCTTCAATGGTTCCATCGAGCTCTGCAGAGCAGACTCTGACTCCAGCCAGAAGGTGGGTCCTTGGGAGGCACCAGGGCCAATAAGGGAGGCACCAGGGAGGGTGGGACTTGCGCACCTGCTGACCTCTGCTTGCCCTTCCTGCAGGACCGGAATGGAAACCAGCTGAGGGCACCCCAGGAGGTGAGACAGAATGGGACAGGAGACTGAAGGGCAGGTGGCCTTGGTGAAGTTGGGGTGTGGGGGAGAATCTGAACTTCAAAGGCCTCCCTAAATGCTGTGCCCCCACAACTGGCCTGAAATTTGGGCCTTGTCCCCACCCCCTCCTTTGTTCCCAGGAGGTGTTACAGCGCCTGGTCAACCTCTATGGACTTCTGCATGGCCTCCAGGTCAGTGGGGCTGGGGGAAGAGCCAGGCCTAGTCACACTAGCAGGCCCAGGTGGTCCCTCCCGCCTTGTTCTGCAGGAATCCCATCCCAGACCCCAGGGGGGTCGGAGGAGGAGGCAGAGAGAAAACAGGGTTCTGGTATACTCTTGGGTACCTATTCCTTTCCCTCTCCCAGGCGGCTGTGGCCCAGCAAGACACTCTGATGGAAGCACGGTTCCCCGAGGGTCCCGAACGCCGGGAGAAGCTGACTCGAGCCAACTCCCGGGACGGAGAGGCCTGTAGGGCCGGGGCTGGCCCCGTGGCCCCTGAGAAGCAGGCCACGGAACTGGCACTCCTACAGCGGCAACATGCATTGCTGCAGGAGGAGCTGCGGCGTTGCCGGCGTCTGGGTGAAGAGCGGGCCACTGAGGCTGGCAGCCTGGAAGCCCGGCTCCGTGAGAGCGAGCAGGCTCGGGCTCTGCTAGAGCGGGAGGCTGAGGAGGCTCGCCGGCAGCTGGCCGCCTTGGGCCACACAGAGCCGCTTGCACCTGAGGCCCCCTGGGCCCGTAGGCCTCTGGATCCTCGGAGGCGCAGCCTCCCAGCAGGCGACGCCCTATACCTGAGTTTCACCCCGCCGCAGGTGAGGCCCTTGTGGGAATGGGAGGGCCAGGGAGTGAGTTGAGGAGTCTAAGAGCAGTTAGAGCATTTTGAGGGAGGGAGAATTAAACCTAGATGGGAGTTAGGCAAAACCAGCCAAGGCTGGAGCTCCTGAAGCCATGCAGGGCCCCACCACCCTTCCCAGCGCTGCTCATCCATGGCCTGCCATCCCCAGCTGAGCCGAGGCCACGACCGCCTGGACCTGCCTGTGACTGCTCGCTCTGTCCATCGGCCCTTTGAGGACCGAGAGAGGCAGGAGCTCGGGAGCCCCGAGGAGCGGCTGCAGGACAGCAGTGACGCCGACACTGGCAGCGAGGAGGAAGGAAGCAGCCGGCTGTCCCCACCCCACAGTCCCCGAGGTGAGAGCCTCGCAGTGGCCATGATCCACAACAACCCTTGTCCTGGGCCTTGCGTGGGTGGGCCCTGACCGACCCCTAAGAGCCCTGCCATCACACTAGGGGAGGGACATGGGGTGCTGAGTCTAGCAGCAAAGTGGACATGGCATTCTTAGCTCCAGCCATGACCTGTCCTCCCAGCCCCCTGCAGCTCTAGTGCGCATACATCTGCGGGAGGTGCAGCCCCAGGGGAGAGGCTGGCTCCTTGAGAGAGGTCCTGCTCACTCCTCATCGCTGGCTCTGCTTTGTCCCCTCTTCAGACTTCACCCGAATGCAGGACATCCCGGAGGAGACGGAGAGCCGTGACGGGGAGCCTTTGGCTCCTGAGAGCTAAGGGGGCTCCTCCCCACCACCCTGTGCCCCACTGAAGAATGTGACTGAAGGGGCCAGCCCAGGGTGGGTGGGGGGACTCCACTCTGCCAATGAGGAGGGATCATTGCAAAGAACTGTTGACTGTCCTTGCCAGCTCTTGGGATCCTTGGATACCTGGGGCCCTTTAGGAAGCCCGGGAAGGGGAGGAGGGATTTAGGCCACGGTCCCTACCACCTTAAGGAGGGGGAGCATCCAGAAGCTACACCACAGATGCCAACCTTCATGCCTTCTTCCCTCTACTTTAGGAAAATTTATTTATTTATTGTTTATTAGCTATGGGGGTGGGAAGGGGAAATTTAAAGGACCAGGGACACGGGAACCAAGCCATAGGGATCAGGGGCCTTGTCCTTTAACACTACCGGGTGCAGTCAGGTTTAACCGCGCCGCGGCTGCTGCTGGCCTCTGGCCCGCACACCCCTCCAGCAACACCGGTCCCCAAGGAGGGCCGCAGGTGCAGGACCCCTTCATGGAGGGCCGTGGGTGGGGCTGCGGCTGGCCTCCTCTCTTCCGCCCCTCCACCCCTCCTGGCCTCGCACTGCTCTGTTCCCTTGGCCTGCTGAAGCCGATGGCATAGAGGCTAGGTGGCCCTGAGGGGGACAGGGCAGGGAAGGCAGATCCCCCACCCCCCAAGGACCAGTCTTTTTTTCTTTTTTTTTTTTGTACCAAAGCCAGCTGCACGTGTTCTATATATATTTTTAAGAATGTAGGCCATTAGGGACCGTAGCCTTTTATTTTCACGGCTCTGAACTTAAGGGGTTGAGGGATAACCGTGACTTCTCCAATGGTCTACAGTCACGGGGCATGTATTCTGACCTCTTCCCCAGCCGTCTAGCAGTTCAAGGGCACAGGCTGGGGACATGTGGATGAACCCTTGACCTCAGTTTTCCACCTAGGTAGCCGTGACCCAAAACCTCAGCAGGAATTTGGGGGAAGTTTTCTTAACCAACCCCCAGAGCCCACCAGCTCCAGTCATTTTTCTGTCAATTTGGTTATCAAAGAAAAAAAATCAGGGAAAATTAAAAACCTGGAACCCCACGCAGTGCCGTGTCTCCTGCTGTGTGCCATGTCCCAGGGTAGTGTGGGAGGGGGGGACTGCTGGCCTGCCTCCTCCTTGCTGGTGGGGGCAGTCCATGCCTCATTGAGAAGGCACCCACAGAAGAGGATGCTGGGAGACTGGTATTTTTCACACTTCACAAGGACAAAGCCAAGAACGCTAGGCCATTGAGGAGTTCTAGAAAATGTGTTTTCATGTTGTTCGCACACCGTGCTCAGACACAGCCTGCTGTCCTCTGTCCTCAGCCCTGCTCGTTCTTCAGGCCTCTGGCAACCCTCACTGGAGTGCCTGTAGAGGCAGGGAGAGACCACCATCTTCACTTCCTGTTCTTGGTGGATGCCTTCCTCCTGGGTAGGGTGAGGAGGGAGGTGTGCATGTTGCACCCGGTGCTTATGGGGTGAGAAGGGAGCTCAGCACCTGCACTAGAAGGGAATGGAGTCTATGGGGGCAGCATCCACCCCTGCCAAAACGCTCCTGTCCTCAGCAGTGTGTGGGACTCTGTCCAACCTGCAGGTTGTGTAAGATCCATGGCAGCAACATTTGATCTGGCAATTGCAACTGCAAACAAGACTTGAAATCCAGTGCATCCTTTTTATTATTTTTTTAAAGGCTCACTGATGGATCCATTCATTTGAAAGAGTTACGAGAGAGCTCTTCCACCCAGTGTGGTTCACTCCCCAAATAGCTATAATGGTTGGAGCTGGGACATGCTGAAGCCAGGAGCATCTGGTCTCCCACATGGGTGGCAGGGGCTCAGGCACATGAGTAGGTAACTGAATAAGCTGCTGGGACATGAACCAGCACCTAAATGGGATGCTAGCATCACAGATGGCAGCTTAAACAGGTGCACCACAGCACTAGCACTATAGCCTATTTTTTTTTCTTTTTAAGATTTATTGGAAAGGCAGATTTACAGGGAGAAGGGGGAACAGATCTGTCTACTGGTTCACTCCCCAAGTGGCTGCAACAGCCACAGCTGAGCCAGTCCAAAACCTGGAGCTGCTTGTAGACATCTCACGTGGGTGCAGAGTCCCAAGGCTTCGCGCCATCCTTTATTGCTTTCCCAGGCTATAAGCAGGGAGCTGAATGGAAAGTGGAGTAACTAGGACTTGGACGGGTGCCCATACGGGATCCCAGCACTTGCAAGGTGAGGATTTAACTATTGAGCCACACCTGGCCCCAGGCTAATTTGATCTTTTTTTTTTTTTTATGACCTGTAACAAGTGGTGTTTTGAATATCCAAATGGCCCTTGGCAGAAGCATCTCAGCCCTGTTCTGCAGGAATGCTGGGAGGCTCACTTCACACAGACCTGTATGCAGAAGGGTTGCCAGGCTGGGCTAGGCAAAACCAGAAGGGGCCAGTCTGCCTAAGTCTACCCCTCCAATCACACTACCCAGCCCTGACTCAGAATACCAGCACTATCGGTTCCCAGAACATAACCAAAAGCTCCGCAGCTGTCATGTCAGCTTAGAGCACCTGGAACCCAAAACAGCAGTGGCGGTTGTGGTGGGGAGGAGAGGGTTATGGAGGAAGACTGCCATTGGTGGCATGGACTTAAAAAAGATGGTGTCCCAGGACCACCAAGACAGGAGTAAAAGTTGCCCCAACATTCCCTGTGTACCCTGTGAGTTGTAACAGACAGGAGAGAAGCAGGCAGCCCAAGAGACATGCCTGCTGCTGCCCCTTTACCAAGCCTCTTTCTCATCGATGTCCCACCCCACATGGTAGCTAAGAGCCAGGTGTACCTCCCGAGGTGTGCTGTGAAGGAAGGCCCCTCTCCCCTGACACGCTGCCTGCTTGCCGCCTCGGAAGGGCTTCTCGCCCATCCCCTCTGTATGGTCTCGTCCTTACCTAGTACCCACAGCCCTCCAAGGGTAGTTCCATGCACATGCAGTCACTCTGCTCCCCTTTGGACCTAGTTATTGATTTTGTCAATATTTACCTTGAGTCCCATACTCACAGATTCCCCCTGGGAGCCAATATCCGGAGTGGAGCTTGGAGCTGCAGGGGAGCGGAAGGAGGGGGAGTTTAGGTGGGGCATAGAATTGTCCACCCTGAACTGGCACCCTGGAAGTTTTGGAACCAGTTTAAACATGATCAAGAAGAGGAAATGAAACGAGAGGCTCATTAACTCCTCCTTGTGCTTTGTTGTGAACCAGGCAGGCAGAAGAGTTTTGTGTTCAGCTACTGTCTAGAACCAGGTCCAAGGCACCACCACAGCCTCTGTCCTAGGGAGGGGCTCTGCTACCCACCAGGTCTTGTGTGACCAGGGTGGCCTAGTAAGAAGCCTGGCAGAAACAGGAGCAAGGATCTCTGTCTCATCTTCCCTCTGCTCCCTGGAAAGCTGTTCTGAGGCTCACCCTTTGTCCCTTGTGCGTCTGAGTGAATATGGGAGCCCCTGAACAACCTGCAAGTGGGGCATGAGGGGCCAAACCCTTTTTTTATTTGAAAGGCAGAGTGACTGATCATCCCTCCACTGGTTTACTCTCCAAATGGCCACAACAGCCAGAGCTGGACCAGGCTGAAGCCAGGAGCCAGAAACTCCATCTAGGTCCTCCTTACGGGAGTGGCAGGAGTCCAAAGTAGTTGAGGCATCTTGCACTGGCTTCAAGGAACATTATGGGGAGCTGGATTGGGAAGTAGAGCCTCCAGGACTCATAATCTGGGTGCCAAGGATTTCCATGAGATCCTACGCCTGCAGCATCTGCAGCTGAGGCCTCTGTGAGCACCACTGAAAAGGTGAGAGAAGATGGGGATTCCATATCGGGGTCCTAAGGTGCCATCATATGACTGTCCCCCATCCCCAGGAGTGGATGGAGTTTGACAGGAAGGAACAGTCCCCTCCCCTTTCCTGTGTACTGACACAGGAGGAAAAAAAATCGAAACATTTGTCCCACCCTCCTTCTTGCATGCGTTATGCACTGACTCCTCACTCTAGTCGGAAACTCAAATATGAGTGTATCCTTCTCGATTGTGTAAATATTAAAGATGGGGATGGCCAAATGATGAAGGTCTGTTGGTATCAGAGAAAGCTAGAGATACCTTGTTTTTAAGGTGACAGTGGAAAGTGAAAGAAGATGGGTATTGACCTATTATCTTTAGACCCCAAGGGGAAGAACTGACCTTGTGGCATTGTGGTACAGTGGGTCAAGCTGCCACTACCAGCTTTTCATACGGGTATTGTTCAAGTCCCAAGTGTTCCACTTCCTATCCAGCTCTCTGCTTATGCGCCTGAGACAGCAGTGGAGGATGGCCCAAGTTCTTGGGGCTCTGCACCCCAAGCTCCTAGCTCCTCATTTCAGACTGGATCAGCTCCAGTCATTGCAGCCATTTGGGAAGTGAACCAGCAAATAGAAGAGCTCCCTGCCTCTCTCCCTCTCTCTGTAACTGCCTTAAAAAAAAAACATCTTGGGCCCAGCGCGGTGGCGCAAGTGGTTAAAGGTCCTCGCCTTGCACGCCCGGGATCCCATATGGGCGCCAGTTCTAATCCCGGCAGTACTTGCTGGGGAAGCACAGCAGGTAGAGGTGCACACCCCACACCTCACCCTGGGCCCCAAAGACAGCTGTGGGCACCGTCACCAAGGCAGCTGCCACCCACACTGCCAATGTGACTCTGTGGGCACTCAAGAGTGAGAAATGGGCACCTGGCTTCGTGGCCACAGCCACCACCCAGTTCCGGGCCACACTCAGCGCTGTGATGAGGAAGATGCTGGCATAGATGTTAAGGACAGTGGCTATCAGTACTATTTTGCAGAGGACGCTTCCGAAGGGATCAGCGGAAGTCCAGGGCTGACTCAACAGCCCAGAAGCGCAAGGTGAGTGCCAGCCCCAGGTCAGCCAGGGTTAGGTTGAAGACAAAGGTATCAGAAGGCAGGCTGGGGGCTCTTCTGGCATGGTTACCCAGGACCCACAGCACAGCAAGTTCCCCAGCTTGCCAATGGTCCCTACAAGCCCATAGGCCAGAGCAACTGTGAGCCTCAGAGTGAGGAATTCCACAGGCAGGGCGGTATTAGGAACGTTCAAGGTGCTGCCTCCCAAGGAGGTGTTGGCCCAGGAGAACGTGGGTCCCGGGGCAGAGGTATTGGGTGTGGGCATCATGGGGCATTGGCGGGGGGCACAGTGCTGAGCAGAGGTGCTGGCAAGTGCCTTGGCAGGAGCCTCAGCAGAGGACGTGGCTCTGAGCCCTCCAGCAGCCAGGTGTCCAGCCCCTGCCCACACCTCAGAGAGGTACAGGAGTGTGGACAGGATCATTGCCTTCTCCCTGTTGGTTGGCTGGGATTGGCAGTGGGTGGGGCTGGGTGAGGAAGAAGGTAGTGGGGAGTGGGAATGAGTGTCCCAGGAGGGCTGGACAGAGCAGGGACTCTGGAGCCCCAGATCTGCTACTGACCCAGAGTGTGACTTTAAAAGGTGAGCTGCTGCCACACTCCTCCAAGCCCGTTTGCAAATCCACCTGAGACTGTCACATTCAAGTGCGCGGTGAATCGAGATAGCATGTGCTAAGGCACCACCTTGCCTTCACATGGGATGCCTGTGGCGGCAGGGAGCAGCTACCAGTCATGCCCAAGGAAACAGTGCCAACTCAAACACAGTTGGAATTCTTCTCCACCACAAGTGACCTTGAGGCTAAGAGCTGGGAGGGAAAGGAGCAAGGAAGTTGCAGCTTCCTGTTCCCACCCCCACTGGGAGTGGAGATAATGAGTGGACCTGGCTATGCCCTCAGTGTTGTCTTTGCTGTAGCCTGTGACATTGTCTGCCAGCCACACTGCCATCCTGCTCCACTTGCTACCTTGCCCCTGCCCGCAGTTCCTGGAGCCAGAGCTCTGTAGGGTGGAGGACGGAGGTGGCTCATCCCCTGCTGGGTCTCCCCATTTCGCAGCTACCACTCCTGAGACACGCCCTCACCACACCTCATCCTGTCTGCCCGTTACCTCAGGCTTGACCTCTGGCGGGGCTCTCCCTTTTCATTGTCCTCATTCTACCTGCTGCAGAAGGAGTTGTGAGCGGAGGAAGAGAAGGCAGGAAGTGGGGAGAGGCAGGACCCAGGCTCTTCTCGGGGTCACCAAATGTTGGACATGGTCCCGCCCTTTGCCAACTGATCAAGATCATGTTTGGGGTTCATTTTTCCTTGAGAGAGTTGGGTGCTGAAGGGGCTCCTTCATGACCATCTATCAGTGAGCTTGCTGCCCTCATGGAAGAAACAGAGATCTACACACACTGGGTGTGCCAGGAGCTTCACGGTCTGAGCAAGGGTAGGGGAATGTGTGAAGGTGATAGGTGAGGGGCATGTGAGGGGGAACCCACCTCCTGGCCTCACTGCACCCCTATGGTGCCAGTTACTCCATGTCTAAGCTGTATCTCCACCCAGGTTTACCTGGGCTGTCTGGCTGTTAGGAGAACTGTTTGCCTTCTCTTCTCTGGACTTAGGGGAAAGGCACTGGGCCCATGTTCCAGGGATCTGCTCTCCCTGTGAAGACCTCTGGCCGGGTCATTTCTGTTTGAACTTCTATTCACTTCTGGCCTGTCTGGTCCAGCTGGCTCCCTCTGGTGGTTACATAGAGAAGTGATGCCACCACCTGGTCAGTTCGGGGAACTTCATACTTGGAGGATTTTGTTCACTCCCTCACTCAGTCACTGATCGCTGTATTTCCCAAACTTTTTTTTTTTACTTTGTGCCAGGCACTGTGCTAGATGCTGGGTGAATATAAACAAAGAAATATTTGGACCTGGTGTGATGGCTTAGTGGCTAAATCCTTGCCTTGCATCCACCTGGGTCCTGATCTGCATCCCATCCAGCTTCCTGCTTGTGGCCTGGGAAAGCAGCAGAGGATGGCCCAAAGCCTTGGGACCCTGCAGCCACGTAGGAAAGCCAGAAGACGTTCTTGGCTCCTGACTTCAGATTAACTCAGTTCTGGCCATTGTGGCCACTTAGGAAGTCAACCAGTGGAAGGAGGGTCTTTTTGTCTCTCCTCTCTATAGATCTGCCTTTCCAATAATACACACACACACACACACACACACACACACACACACGGCTACTGTCACAAAAAGTCATCATCCTGTTGAGATGAAAGAAATATCTAAGGGGACTTCCATCGTGATGCAGTGGGGAAAGCCGCTGCCTACGACTCTAGCAGCCCATGTGGATGCTGATTTGAGTTCTAAGATGCTCCAGTTTTGATCCAGCTCCCTGCTCATATGCCTGGGAAAACAGCAGAAGATGACTCAAGTGCTTGGGCCCCTGCACCTATGTGGAAGGTAGTCACTGAAGAACAGGTAGTCTTTAAAAAAAAAAATGGTTCTTTGATCATTGAGCATCTACGTTTAAAAAATATTTTAAGATTTATTTATTTTTATTAGAAAGGCAGAACTTTGGAGAGAACAGACAGAACGATCTTATATCCTCTGGTTCACTCCCCAAATGGCTACAACAGTTGCAGCTGAGCTAATCCAAAACCAAAAAGAAAAAAACAGGAGCTTGTTCTGAGTCTCCTACATGGGTACAGGGTCCCAAGGCTTTAAGCCATGGGTGAGGGCCGTCCTCAACCGCTTTCCCAGGCCACAAGCAGGGAGCTGGGTGGAAAGTGAAGTAGCCAAGACGCAAACTGGCACCATAGGGAGGTGGAGTATTAGCTAGTTGAGCCATCATGTCATGTTTTTATGTTTTATTTGTTTTTATTGCAAAGTCAGATACACAAAGAGGAGGAGAGACAGAGAGGAAGATCTTCACTCCCCAACTCACCACAGCAGCTGAAGCTGAGCTGATCTGCAGCCAGGAGCCAGAAGCCTCTTACGGGTCTCCCTTCATGAATGCAGGGTCCCAAGGTTTTAAGCCATCTTGCACTGCATTCCCAGACCACAAGCAGGGAGCTGTGTGGGAAATGGGGCTGCTGGGATTAGAACCGGCTCCCATATGGGATTCCAGTGCATGCAAGGCAAGGACTTTAGCCACTAGGTTACTGCACCAGACCTGAACATCTACATTTTAAACAAAAATTTTATTTATTTAGCTTGAAAGTGTTACACACAGAAAAAGAGGGAGAAACAAAGAGAATCTTCATCCTGGTGCACTCTCCAAATGGCTGCAGTGGCCAGAGTGGGGCTGGTCTGAAGCTAAAAACGAGAAGCTTCTTCATGTCTTCCACATGGGTGCAGAGGTGCAAGGCTTTGGGTCACCGTCTGTTGCTTTCCCAGGTCACAAGCAGGGAGGAGGATGGAAAGTGGAACACCTGGGACGTGAACCCATATGGGATCCTGGCACATGCAAGTCTCTGCTGCTCCAGAGGATTGCCACCAGCATTTTATAAGGGCACCAGATCATGTCCCAGCTGCTCCATTTCCATCCAATCCCTGCTTTGGGCCTGGGAAAGCAGTAGAGGGTCCTTGGACTCAGTACCCATATGGGACAGAGAGGAAGATCTTCCATATGATGATTCACTCCCCAAGTGACTGCAACGGCCGGTGCTATGCCGATCCAAAGCCAGGAGCCAGGAACTTCTTCCAGGTCTCCCACGCGGGTGCAGGGTCCCAAAGCTTTGGGCCGTCCTTGACTGCTTTCCTAGGACACAGCAGGGAGCTGGATGGGAAGTGGAGCTGCCAGGGATTAGAACCGGCGCCCATACTGGATCCTGGCGCATTCAAGGTGAGGATTTTAGTTGCTAGGCCATGCCACCGGGCCCGCAGCTTGGACTGCTTGCTTCATTCTATTTTGGAGACTCTCCACTGTACTTTTAATTTGCTCTACTGTGTTCTTAATTTCTGATATACCAGCCTTGATTTGCTTTACTGCTTCCTTAAATTCTTTCAACTCTTGCATGAGCTTCTCATTTTTTATCAGAATCTTTAAAATGAATCTTATGGATTCTGTGTCCCCTATTTTCTCGATGTCTTCCTGAGGTTGGCATAGAGTTTTGCTCCTCTGCAGGGGAGTTTTCAGTAATATTCATTGTGCCTTTGTCTCTTCTTTTGCTCTTGATCATTGTACTTCTGGTTAGCAGAGTCTTCTTCTTGGGGCAGGTTTCTAAGCTGTGTCACCCACAGGTCTACAATGCGATTTTACTTATTGCAGTTGGTACACAACTTTTTGCTTGCAGCCACTTGTGCCACAACCTCCAGCGAGTTCTAGGTCTGGGTTCTTATGTCAGATTTCCACCGTGGTTTCCACAGCCCCAGCTCTTGGCTCACCACTCTCCAACTCCTGTAATACCATGCTGAGGCTGCACTGTTGTCTCTGCAACCTTTCTCCCACTTCCAGTTGGAATAGGTCCCAGGATTAGAGAGACATCAGGTGTCCTATCTAGTTAGGTTGTTGGTGGCGCTGATCTTGCTGGAACCTGTTGGCTGTTAGGTCTGGGTGCCACATGAACCTATTTTGACCCGTATGATGCCACAGTCGGTATTATTTTCCTGCGGGACCTCAGCGAGTTCTTGCGAGCTCAGCACATGCGCAGTTTATTGTTGTCCCCAGCTGTCCCAAAGCTATTGCCACAGTGCACAAATGGCGCCTGACGTACCACTGCTACAGTTCTTGATCTGCTGGCTGTCTGATGCGAGGGCTACCCAGACCTACCCTGGGTGGAGCCTGTAGAATGCCACATCATTGGACCCGGCGCGGTGGCGCAAGTGGTTAAGGTCCTCTCCTTGCACGCCCGGGGTCCCATATGGGCGCCGGTTCTAGTCCCAACAGCCCCGCTTCCCTTCCATTCCCCACCTGTGGCCCCGGGGAAAGCAGTTGAGGACGGCCCAAGGCCTTGGGTCCCTGCACCCGCGTGGGAGACCCAGAAGAGGCTCCTGGCTTTGGATCGGCATAGCATCGGCCGTTGTGCTCACTTGGGGAGTGAATCATTGGAAGGAAGATCTTCCTCTCTGTCTCTCCTCTCTGTATATCCGCCTTTCCAATAAAAAATAATAAAAATAAATCTTAAAAAAAAAAGTGGAACGGACAGGACATGAATCTGGACCCCTGCGAGATGCTGGTTCTGGCAAGCAGAGGATTAGCCACTTGAGCTATTGTACTGTACCAGGCCTCCAACAGGTTTTTTTAAAAATAAGATTTATTTATTTTTATTGCAAAGTCGGATATACAGAGAGGAAGAGACACACAGAGGAAGATCTTCTGTCTGTTGGTTCACTCCCCAAGGCACCACAATGGCAGGTGCTGTGCAGATCCCAAGCTATGAGCCAGGAAATTCCTTCAGGTCTACCATGCAGGTGCAGGGTCCCAAGGCTTTGGGCCATCCTCAACTACTTTCCCAGACCACAAGCAGGGAGCTGGATGGGAAATGGAGTTGCCAGGATTAGAATCGGCGCACATATGGGATCCCGGACAAGCAAGGCAAGGACTTTAACCACTAAGCTATTGCGCTGGGACCAACAGGTTTTAAAATATGAATAGGCTCTATTAAAAGGAAACAAATAGGTCAATTTGCTAGAAAAAGAACATATCCTGTACGTGTGCCATGCCAAGCAAGATGCGGTGGGTGGCGTGAATAGAATATTTTCTTGAATTGTGAAAGGAAACACCTGTACATTTGTAAAAAAAAAAAAAAAAAAAAAAAAACAAAAACAAAAAAACCAGCACTGCGTTTTATTCTTGCAACTTCGTGGAGTCTTCGTGGAGAGCCATGAACCAAAGCAAGCCCTGAGCGTGGCTTCAAAGCCTGTCATTATCAGGCTCCCACACTGAGGGCCAGCCCAAACTCTAGTGGACAGATGCAGCCACAGGTAGCCTGAAGAGCAAAGCCTGCCACCTCCCCAACCCTCAGGGCTGTTCAGCTTCCATTCCTCAACCATCACCACCACCCCCGCAAGTTGAGTGGTTAACTCTTCCTCGATGTTGGCTTACTATACAATTGTACCACACTAATTATCCCTGCTGTCTACGCCACGTTGTGAGAAACCAGTGTGGTAGGACCTATGTCTTATGTCTGCTCGTATTTTTACATCCCCAGCTAGGTTCACAGAAATTAAAAAAACAAAAACACAACTTCTTCAGAAGACTTTGGAAATGAGCCATCTCCCTCTGAAGTGTGCATAAACCGCCGCGGGGACCGCTGTCACCCCGGCCAGAGTCTGGGGATACGCATCAAGGGAGCTGAAACCCGGACACTGACTTAGCTCACCCGTGTGTTTTCTTTGCACGTTCTTTTGCAGGGCTTCCAATTTGCCCACAACCAAAATGGACTCCAGTAGCCCCAGAGTCAGTTTTTAAACGGGACATAACAGCCATCTTTGGTATGGGCGCGTCGCAGGCCGGAAAGTAACACCCTACGTTATCTCAGAAGCGCCAGACACCGACTGTCCAATTGAAACCAAGATGTTTACCGGAAGAGCTCTGCCTCACGACCGGAAGAGACTTTACGTCCGGGCGTTGGAGGCGGAAGTGACGGGCGGTAGTGGTGGGGTAGTTGGCGGGTGGTTGAGTGGAGCCCGTCGCCATGTCCGCGGGGAGCGCGACGCATTCTGGAGCCGGCGGGTAAAGCTACGGGGGCCGGCAGTGTGTGTGTGGCGGGGAGCACAGGCGAGGCCTAGGGGGCCTGCGTGTGGGTGAAGAGGACGGGTGTGTGTGGAGGGGCTGGACACTGGGGCAAGAAGCGCAGGTCTGAGGCCGCGGCTAAGCTCGTGCAGGGATCGGAGGGCGGAGGGAAGCGGGGCATTGGGGAAGGTCGGCCTGCAAGAGGGCAAGCCTTCTGGGAAGCGGGGATTTAGTAAGATAACAGCAGTCATTGCGTGTGAAGGACGGCCTGCAGGTGGAGTGGCGAGGAGAACCTGAGGCCCTCACAGTGTCCTTGGTCCTCCTGCCTGCAGGCGCCGCAGCAAATGGGACCAGCCCGCGCCCGCCCCGCTGCTCTTCCTCCCGCCCGCCGCCCCCGGGGCCGAGGTGCCCAGCAGTGCCGGCAGCCCCGGGGGCGCCACGGCCGCCCCCTCGGGAGCCCTGGATGCGGCTGCTGCCGTGGCTGCCAAGATCAATGCCATGCTCATGGCTAAAGGGAAGTTGAAGCCAACTGCCAACGCTACCGAAAAGGTATATCCTCAGGGTGGCCCATGGGGGGTCCTCGGGGTGTCCCCTGGAAGTGGTCGTCGGTCTAGGCGCCTGGGAGATTCTCGGGGTGTCCCCTGGGGGTCCTCGGTCTGGGCCCCTTGGGAATCCTGGGGGGTGTCCCCTGGGGGGTTCTCAGCTGGGCCCCTGGGGCACCCATGGAGAGTGGAGGCCGGCCGCAATGCCTGTTCAAGAGACAGCTTGGAATGGCCGTGAATAGTATTTTACAGCCCACACGGTTTTACCTGTGAGATTTTATTCGTTTTATGTTTTTGGCACATAAAAACGTAGTGGGCTTTTTTTTTCCTTTACTCCTCCCGTGAAGTCAAAAGTGTATTTCAAGGGCATCAGCGAGCCTTAAAAGTGTCATTTTGAACAAACGAGTAAGGTACACACACACATTAAAATGGACGCATAATTAATGGATATCTTGTTGCTTGGTCTTACTGGAATCCTTGGTATGGTTAGGAGGGAGCTGATCAAAGCATTTCCTTTCCCTTGTCACCGAATGCCAGAATGTTCCTACTGGATCATGATTATACTGGCTTTTTGTATTGCTGGAGTGAGTGCATTGGACATTCAGAAAAATAACGGTTAGCTGGAGTGTTGCTAGTAGATGACAGATAAGAACCTTATGAATGTAAAGCAATTATTCCAGATCTGTAAGTGGTGGGCTCAGATGTCTGGCCGAATTTACCTCAGATGTTTAAGTTGACTTTGTGTTTGCCCTGAAACCCCATAGGCTTTCATTTGAAAACAGTACGGGAGCTTAGAAGGTGAGTCACGTTGATCAAGGCAGTCCCCAAGGAGCCTGTGCAGTGCAGACCACGACCCCTCTAGTTCAGCATTCAAGTTTTTGTAAAGGAGGGAAAAACCTTCAGTGAGTTCCAAGCTCCATCTTGAGTGTCCGGTCAGGGTTTACAAAGGTAGCATCATTCAGTTGTTCATTTCTGAGGGCTGGGAGGAACAATTAACACCACACTGACAAAGATGAAAGAGTCCTTTTTTTATTATTAATGTTTATTTATATTGCAAAGTCATATATACAGAGAGGAAGATCTTCAGTCTATTGATTCACTCCCCAAGTGACCGCAACGGCTGGAGCTGCGCCAGTCCGAAGCCAGGAGCCAGGAGCTTCATCTGGGTTTCCCACACGGATGCACGGTCCCAAGACTTTGAGCCATCCTTGACTGCTTTCCCAGGCCACAAGCAGGGAGCTGGATGGGAAGTAGGGCTGCAGATATATGAACCAGCTCTCCTATGGGATCCTGGCGTGTTAAAGGCGAGGACTTTAGCCACCGCGCTGGGCCCACATGGAAGAATCTTAATATCCATGTTGACCATTTAGATTTGTGTTTTTTTCTTTAAAAATTAGTGTTCGGGAGGCAATATTGTGCACAGGGACTAGATTTAGAATCCTAATACCTAAATTTGAGGTCCCAAATGATAGTTAACTGGTGATTGGGCTTTGATATCAATATGGCAATATTTACACAATTTAAAATAGTTTAGTCACATGGGAGGTGGAGCATGCAGGACACTGGCGCCCATATGGGAAGTTGGTGCTTGCAGGTGGAGAATTAGCCTATAGATCCGTAGTGCCCATCCCATGTGAAGTGCTTTTCAAGTGTTTGGGACGTACGGGTGGCTAGGGACAACTGCATAGCTCTGCTTATATACAGAACACTTGAAATCATTCATAGAACGTTCTGGAGGTTGACACTGATGAGGACCTCACTGGAGGAACTGTGTAAAAGAATAAAGTGATACTGCTGAGCACTTATTTTTTAAAGATATATTTTTGTTGGAAAGGCAGATATACAAAGTGGAGGAGAGACAGAGAGAAAGATCTTACATTCGATGATTCATTCCCTCAGTGACTGCAACGGCCAGAGCTGAGCTGATGTGATGCCAGGAGCTCTTCTGGATCTCCCATGTGGGTGCAGGGTCACAAAGCTTTGGGCTGTCCTTGACTGCCTTCTCAGGCCACAGGCAGGGAGCTAGGTGGGAAGATGGGCCACTAGGATTAGAACTGGCTCCCATATGGGATCCTGGTGCATTTAAGGTGGGGGCTGCTAGGCCACCATGCGGGGCCCTGAAATTGTATTTAAAAACTCCACAATTAACAAATGTGTCTAATGTATGAACTGAACCAACTTGTCTTCCTTTAGCATGTTTTCTAGGCATTGTTAACACTCAAAATCAGTTATCAGGAGTTGCTTGCAATTTAAGTTGAGCAAAAAAAAAAAGAAGATTCTTGGGTCCAGCGTGGCCAAGCAGCTAAAGTCCTCGTGCCCTGGGATCCCATATGGGCACCGGTTCTAATCCCAGGAGCCCTGCTTCCCATCCAGCTCCCTGCTTGTGGCCTGGGAAAGCAGGAGAGGACGGCCCAAATCCTTGGGACCCTGCATCCGTGTGGGATACCCAGAAGTTCCTGGATCCTGGTTTCAGATCGGCATAGCATCGGCCGTTGCGCTCACTTGGGGAGTGAATCATCGGAGGAAGATCTTCCTCTCTCCTCCTCTCTGTATATTTGACTTTGTAATAAATAAATAAATCTTAAAAAAAAAAAAAAACCCAGTAAGATTCTTGAATGCGCTGGGATCCCATGTGAGCACTGCCGGAGTCCAGCTGAGTTCGGAACTTGCGAAGGGTGCTTGGATGAGGCGCAAAGAGGAAAAGAAAGACGGACCACTAGGATTCCATCTTAATGGACTATGCGGGAAAGCTGTCGCTTTATTTATACAGAATCAGTGAAACTCTGGCTCAGACTGTTTACATCATGGTCAAGTGGGTGCTTCTAAAGATAACTCTGCCATTTGTTTCACCTAAGGCTAGGATGTTATCCACCTGGAGCTGTGGTTAGGAAAAAATTCTCAATAGATGGTGCATATCAATCAGTAACACAATCCTCATTCTACAGCTTGGTCTTGAGACAGTCAAGGAAGGAAGAACTTCACCGGAGGGACCTAAAAGATCAAAGAAAGAGGGAAAGAATAGGTTCCCACTACACCTGAAGACAGAACACCCTTGATTAGCATAGGATCAAAAGGGAGAGTTAGCCCCCTTGATTAACATATGGTCAATGGGGGAGGGAAAACCCCCAAGCCCTTTCCCTAAAACAGTATCAGCAACATCAACTTCCAAGCTCACATTAGTAGTAAACATTAACTCCACAGAGGCAGACAGTGCCTAAATGGATTATAGAATTCTCAGTGGGGTTGTTCCCTGTCCATGCAAAGGGAGGCGGGGCTGCATTCAGGTGGTTGTAGAGACATCCGTGGGCCCTGCCAAACAGCGGGAAGTTCCTTGCGGCCCTGCCTGCCTGCAATGGAACAATACTCTTCACACCTTCCTGTCTTCCACACCCATCACACGGACCCCAGCAGGGCACCAGTTCTAATCCTGGCAGCTCTGCTTCCCATTCCAGCTCCCTGCCTGCAGCCTGAGAAAGCAGTTGAGAATGGCCAAAAGCCTTGGGACCCTGCAACCCCTGTGGGAGTCCTGAATGAGGCTCCTAATTTTGGATTGGTTCAGCTCTAGCCATTGTGGCTGCTTGGGCAGTGAATCGATGGGTGGAAGATCTTCCTCTCTGTTTCTCCTCTCTTGTTTCTGCCTTTCTGATAAAAAAAAAAAATCTTATTTAAAAAAATCAGAATCTTATCCATTCTCTTAATTCTGTAGCGAGAGTGATGGAATGAATTTTGATATAAACTGAGAATTTAAAATTATATATACTTTTTAAATTTGAAAGGCGGAGCTCTCGTGTCTGTTGCTTTACTCCCCCAGATGCCTGCAGGATTTGAGGCTGTGCTGGCTGAAGCCAGGAGTTAGACCTAGGTGACAGCCCATGTCCTTGAGCTGTCATCTGCTGGACCGCAGATTGGGCACCCAGGCTCTGCCAGGTGCAGGTTGACTGCTGCACACACTGCCCATCAGACTCAGGACTGTTGTGACAGCAAAGGTTGACTTGTTATGCTAGGAGTGCAACATTAACAAGACGCACAGGACGTCTGCCTTCATTCCCTTGTACTGTACAGACAGCTGGTGGAGCTGTAAAGACACAACAACTTGGCTATTTTCCTTTCAAATATTGTAATTTCTGGTTAGTTTCTGTAATCAGATGGCCATAAAAATGGGCACAGGGGCCTCTTGTTGTGGTGTAGTGAGTTAAGCTGCTGTCTGCAACACATATGTGCCAAATGAGCCCCAGTTCTGCCCCCGCTGCTCCACCTCCAATCCAGATCTCTAAGGGACCTCGGAAAATAGCTGAAGATGGCCCAGTTGCATTATGTGACACAGTTTCATAGGCTCTAGGATTCCCCCATCCCCTCCGCATACCCTCCCCCCATGGTGGACTCTTCCACCTTGGTGCAGTATTATAGTTCAAGTTCAGTCAAGATTCTTTTACTGCAAGCATAGAGTCCAGCATCTTATTGTAGGCTTCTTGGGGAGACCATCTCTAGTCTGAGGACAGAGCTGGCAGAATATCATTTCGATCAGTTAAAATCCACAATGTAACATCAACAACAATTTACGATCTAATGGAATTAATTGTCATGGTATTGAGTAACAAAAATGTTAAAAAATGCAAGTTCTTAATCGCATCCTTTTCAAATATGTAACATCTTAAAAAACATGGACATAGGGCTAAATTTACAGAAAAGTCTGATGATGACTTTCAAGTGAATAATTTATACTTGACATTATTTTAGTGAGGAATTTTTTTTTTTTAGTTTACATTTTTATTGGAAAATCAGCTATACAGAGAGGAAGGTCCTCCGCAGATTCACAGATTCACTCCCCAAGCAGCTGCAACAGCTGGAGCTGCACTGATCTGAAGCTAGAAGCCAGCATCCTCTCCCAGGTTTCCCACATTAGTGTAGGGTCCAAAAGCTTTGGGTATCCTCAACTGCTTTCCCAGGCCACAAGCAGGGAGCTGGATGGGAAATGGGGCCGCCAGAATTAGAATCAGTGCCCATGTGGGATGCTGGTGTAAGCAAGGCAAGAACTTTAGATACTAGGCTACTGTGCCGGGCCCATTTAGTGAGGATTTGTTATTTGGATAACCAGGTTTGTTTCCAGATAGATGAAGCTTTTATCTGTTCTTCTCTTTGTAGCTTCAGGCTCCTGGCAAAGGCCTCACTAGCAATAAAAGCAAAGATGACCTGGTTGTGGCTGAAGTTGAAATCAATGATGTGCCTCTCACATGTAGAAATTTGCTGACTCGAGGACAGACTCAAGATGAGGTATGGGGGAATTAGCGCTCTGGGGAACAAGAGAGGAAGGCCATTACCCTGGGTTGGTGTGAGAAACCGTGCTATCCTTGTTTTATTCCTGCCCTACTTGATTGAGTGAGTGAATGAGAGAAATATATCTGCTATTGAAAGTAGTGACGGTTACCACATATCTTAGGAAATTGTTATTTTCAAGCAGTGCATACAGTTGTATGGGGTTGGGAGATAACAGTGACATCTTTTTTAATAGAACATTTCCTCTTCTAGATCAGCCGCCTTAGTGGGGCTGCGGTGTCAACGCGGGGGAGGTTCATGACAAGTGAAGAGAAGGCCAAAGTGGGACCAGGGTATGTGTGCTTGTTCTCTGTTGTGGGGAGGCGTTGGGCCAATGGCTTGTTTCATTCTTAGATAACATCTTGGGTTTGAGAGGTATGTGTGCTTGCATGCACATCCTTTAATTGCAGAGTCCTGCGTATCTCAAAAGAGATGAGGAAAAATGTTGGTAGCTGTTGTTTTTCTATTGTTTTTAGGTTTTTAGTTTGACAATATTTCATTTTCAAAAAAAAATTTTTTAATTAATTTTTTAGAGATTCATTTTTATTGCAAAGTCATATATATAGAGAAGAATAGAGACAGGAAGATCTTTGATCCGATGATCCACTCCCCAAGTGACCGTAGCGGCCAGTGCTGCGCCAATCTGACACCAGGACCCAGGAGCTTCTTCAGGTCTCCCACACTGGTGCAGGGTCCCAAGGCTTTTGGCCGCCCTCGACTGATTTCCAGGCCATAAGCAGGGAGACTCCTAGTGATATTTATCCCACAACATCGGAGGTGTACGTTAGGAACAATTTTTTTTTTTTTTTTTTAAAGAAAGATTTACAGAGAGGAGAAACAGAGGAAGATCTTTACCTGCTGTTTCATTTTCCATGTTGCTGCAACAGCTGGAGCTGAGCCGATCCTTAGCCAGGAGTTAGGAGCTTCTTCCGGGTCTCCCACCTTGGTCCAGGGTCCCAAGGCCAGGCCGTCCTTAGCTGCTTTCCCAGGCCACAAGCAGGGAGCTGGATGGGAAGCAGGACCCCTGTATTATAACCAGCGCCCATATGGGATCCCGGTGCGTTTAAGGCGAGGACTTCAACCGCTACACTTTCGTGCCGGGCCCTATGAGAATATTTCATCTCACCTTCTTTCCTCCCATCGTTCAGTGCTTGAGCTTCTTTGTCAGCTAACAAGCACTCAGAAATGTACTGTTTTAAACACCTACTTAATCTGGCCATGATTAGGAGACAGAATTAACATCTGACTGCCAGCTGTGTATGTGGGTGTTATTTTGAACTTTATCCTTTTTTGTTTGTTTTTTAAGATATATTTATGTTTGGACCTGGCGTGATAGCCTTGTGGCTAAATCCTTGCCTTGCATGGGTTGGAATTCATATTCCACCCAGTTTTCTGCCTGTGGCCTGGGAAAGCAGTAGAGGATGGCCCAAATCCTTGGGACCCTGCACCCACTTGGGAGACCCGGAAGAAGATCCTGACTCCTGGAATTGGATCAGTTTAGCTGAAGCGGTTGCAGCCATTTGGGGAATGAATCAGCAGATGGAAGATTTTCTTCTGTTTCTCCAATGTATTTCTAACTTTCCAGTAAAAACAAGTAAATCTTTTAAAATAATAAGAAAAAATGTGTATTTTATTGGAAAGGCAGATGTACAGAGGAGAAACATTTTTTTATATGTTTTTTGATATATGATTAACTACTTTCTTCATTGTTGTAATTTATACTTTTTAAGATTTATTTATTTTATTTATTACAAAGTCAGATACAGAGAGGAGGAGAGACAGAGAGGAAGATCTTCTGCCCGTTGATTCACTCCCCAAGTGAGTGCAATGGCCGATGCTATGCCGATCCGAAGCCAGGATCCAGGAACCTCTTCCAGGTCTCCCACGCGGGTGCAGGGTTTCAAAGCTTTGGGCTGTCCTCAACTGCTTTCCTAGGCCACAAGCAGGGAGCTGGACAGGAAGTGGAGCTGCCAGGGTTAGAACCGGCGCCCATATGGGATCCCAGGGCATTCAAGGCAAGGACTTTAGCTGCTAGGCCACGCCGCCAGGCCCGTAATTTATACTTAAACCATCTTTCCATTTGGACTCTGAAGAGTCCATTGGGGATGGGTGTTTGCCATAGCGTGGGGAAATCCACCTCCCTTACAGTTCTTGGGTTAGAGCCCCAGATTGTCTGCTGACTCCGAGGCAGCAGGTGGCAGCTCAGGCAGTTGAGTTCCTGGTTTGCCCCAGTCATTACAGGCATGAATGAAGTAGTGAATTGGAGCTTTATCTGTTGTCTCTGCCTTCAAGTCATAAATAAATATGTAAGTAAATATATTTTTGAAAGTTTTTGTTCCACTGTCTCTATTGCCCCATTAAGTTCTGTAACCACGAACAGTAACCTATAGCCTATTAGAGAAACAGCAAAAGAGATTAAAAAAAAGTTATGTACATCCATTTTAAAAGACAGATGGAGGGACTGGCTCCATGGCCTAATGGCTAACATCCTCACCTTTAACATGCTGGAATCCCATTGGGTACTGGTGCTTTTTTTTTTTTTTAATTTTAGATTTTTTTTATCTTAGGTTTATTCCAGCAGGGCAGGAACAGGGTGGAGGTAGTGGAGATCAGAAAAGGGGAAGAGGAATGGGAGGAGGGGTTAGGAGGCTGGAAGAAGAGAGAAGAGAAAGAGCAAAGAGAGCAAGCCGCACCTGGGGGCCTTTTTGTCCACCAGGTGTGGGGGGTGGGGATTGGGAGGGATTGAGGGCAGGCCACAGGGGATTGGTACCTGCAGGTGAATGCCTAGGGATGATTGATGAGTGGGTGGGGTTGGGGAAGGGGCTGGAAGATTGGGGGTGAGATTCTCAGGTGGAATAGGGCACTGGTTCTAATCCTGGCAGCTCCACTTCCCTTCCAGCTCCCTGCTTGTGGCCTAGGAAAGCAGTCAAGGACAGTCCAAAGCCTTGGGACCCTGCACCTGCATGGAAGACCTGGAGGAAGTTCCAGTCACTTGGGGAGTGAATCATCGGACGGAAGATTTTCCTCTCTGTCTCTCCTCCTCTCTGTATATCTGAGTTTGTAATAAAAATAAAATCTTTTTTTTTCTTTTTAAATATTTATTTTTATTGGAAAGGCAGATATACAGAGAGGAGTAGAAACAGAGGAAGATCTTCCATCCAGTGATTCACTCCCCAATTGATTGCAACAGCTGGTACTACACCAATCCATACATGGGATTCCAGCACCTGCAAGCTGAACATCCAGCCATTGAGCGATTGCACTGGGCCCTGGAATTTTGTTCTTGATTGTTGATTTGTTTTGTTTGATAACATTGCTGATGAACCCCTAAACACTCATTTTATGGCTAATTTAACAATACATTGAAATGTTTGATTCTTCTAGTTTTGACTGAATCAAGATGAACCTTCTGTGTTTCACTTTATAGGGATCGTCCATTGTATCTTCATGTTCAGGGACAGACACGGGAGTTAGTGGACAGTAAGTAACATTTTTTGTGTACATGACTGGTTTTTTGTGAAGAGCTGAGAACAGAGTTGTGGAGATTGTTCCACCCTCTTGTTATGAGCTGTGGATGAATGTGGGGGGGGCTTCGAGAGCTGGTGGGGCATACATTTGGATATCCTGTAGACTAAAGCTTCAGTAACTGACCCTGGGGCCTGTCTTCATGCTTAGGTCTCGGTTGGCTCATTCAGTTCTTTGGCATGAAGTCTTACTCTTTGTTTTTCCTCTAGGGGCTGTTAACCGGATCAAAGAAATTATCACCAATGGAGTGGTGAAAGCCGCCACGGGGACAAGCCCTACTTTCAATGGTGCGACAGTCACTGTCTATCATCAGCCAGCACCCATTGCTCAGCTGTCTCCAGCCGTCAACCAGAAACCTCCCTTCCAGTCAGGGGTATGCTTTGCGGTGGGATCGTCATGTTACTTCTGCGAAAGTCAAATAATAATACATAGGAGGACAAAGGCATTTTGTGCTGGGATTGAAGTCTGAGAATTACCTGCCATTGCTATTCTGTTGGTGCATTACCCAGGTTTCGACAGTATCAGGAACATCTGAGCAGCTGCATCAGTATACTGGTGGATTCTAGAAAGGGGACTGATAGCGGGTATGGACGTTGGATGGTTTGCAGTTGGTGATTTTATAAACTAGTTGGTGCTGGAGGACTAAGAAGGCCAAGTCTGATGAAGCAAGCCTTGGCTGATACACTCCTCCTAGAAAAAAGGGTTGGAGAGAGCAGCCCTTCTTGGAGAAGGTCCCAGGGGCTGACTGTACTACCCAACATTCTGTTCTAGCTTCATAGGAGATGGGCTGTGCTGCAGTTACTTTTTGTCTCTTTAGCATCAGTTGGAGGGAAGTAGATTTACTTGCTTAGCTCAGTATCATCTCTTGAATGTTATCTTTAGCTGAACAGGGTAAGGTGTTCTCTTTTGAAGGAAAGTATGAGGAAAATGAAGTGCTTTTTTTTTTTTTTAAGATTTATTTTTATTGGATAGTTAGATATATAGAGAGGAGGAGAGACAGAGAGGAAGATCTTCTGTCCAATGATTCATTTCCCAGGTGACGGTAACGGGAGGCATGAACCTCCTCCAGGTCTCCCACACGGGTGCAGAGTCCCAAGGCTTTAGGCCGTTTTCGACTGCCTTCCCAGGCCACAAGCTGGATGGGAAGTGGAGCTGCCGGGATTAGAACTGGCGCTCATATGGGATCCCAGCACGTGCACGGTGAGGACTTTAACTACTACACTATCATGCTGGGCCCAGAAATGAAGTTCTTACCCAAAGGAATCTCCTTGGCAGTTTCTTTTTGTGGTAGAGATCGTAGGAGGTCCTAATTCTGGAAGTGATTAAAAGTATCTGAGGAATTGAAGTGTTTTACATAATAATTTTCTTAAAAGTCTGCATTAGTAATGTATTTGGTTAATCTGAGGTATTTGCTTCCTCTACAGATGCATTATGTTCAAGATAAATTATTCGTTGGTCTAGAACATGCCGTGCCTACTTTTAATGTCAAAGAGAAGGTGGAAGGTCCAGGCTGCTCCTACTTGCAGCATATTCAGATTGAAACAGGCGCCAAGGTCTTCCTGCGGGGCAAAGGCTCGGGCTGCATCGAGCCAGCATCTGGTCGAGAAGCATTTGAGCCCATGTATATTTACATCAGGTATGCACAGATGGGGCACAGGACATTGCCTCCTTGGTGGATTCGGAGTGCGGGCTAAGATGACTCAGGTTCATAGAAACACAGGGGTTTCTATAAATCCTACCTTTGCAGTGTATAGAAATTGAATTGTGAGGTAGAGGTAGCTCTTTTAGTACTTAAGTCTTTGGAGTTGGTTGGTTTTTTTTTTTTAAGATATTTTTACTGGAAAGTCAGATATACAGAGAGGAGGAGAGACAGAGGAAGATCTTCCGTTCGATGATTCACTCCCCAAGTGAGCTGCAGTGGCCATTGCTATGCTGATCCAAAGCCAGGAGCCAGGAACTTCTTCCAGGTATCCCACACGGGTGCAGGGTCCCACAGCTTTGGGCTGTCCTCAACTGCTTTCCCAGGCCACAGGCAGGGAGCTGGATGGGAAGTGGAGCTGCCAGGATTAGAACTGGCACCCATATGGGATCCTGGGGCATTCAAGGCGAGGACTTTAGCTGCTAGGCCACGCCGCTGGGCCCGAGTCTTTGGAGTTTGTATGAATCTGTGGGCCTATAATGAACTGGGACAAGCCTAAAATAACTTTTGTTTATACCTATGACAATATGAATATTCTATGTAGTAATTTTATGACCTATAAACGTATTTATATCAAGAAACAGCACTACCCAGAGAAAGACCAGTAACACATCTGTGTATGTTTTCTATGATTGATTTGAGAGAAGGAAGAGAGCCACCATTCCCTGGTTCACTCCCCAAAGACACCTGCTGGCCAGGGTATAGTGTGACTAGAGACCCAGGAACTGGGAACTTGATTCTAGTTTCCATGTGGGTGGTAGGAACCTGATTGCTTGAGTCATTTATTGCTGTCTCCTGCGGTTGGTTTGATGCGAGCTGGCACCGACCAGGAGCTGTAGCTGGACATGGACCCAGACACTGATGTGGAGTGTGCACATGGATATGTACTTTTAATATTTTGCCTTTTTTTTTTTTTTTTTTGGTAAGTTTGGTTAGAATGTTAGAATTATAGACCCAGGAGGAGGGACAGAATTTTTCCATCTGAGTCTTCTACCCCGTGGTGACATGGATCTAAGTAGCAGCGGGGAGTGGTTTGGAAGTGGAGCGGCTTGAACTGGGGCTCATAGCTTGCTGGCATACACTGTGCCATAATACCTGGCTAAACATGGGCATCTTTTTTTTTAAGGTTTATTATTTTATTTGATTATTTTGTATTTGAAAGTCAAATATACAGAGAAGAGGAGAGACAGATCTTCCACCTGGTGATTCACTTCCCAAGCAGCTTCAGTGGCTGGAGCTGCGCTGATCTGAAGCCAAGAATCCAGAGCCTCTTCTGGATCTTCTACATGGGTATAGGGTCCCAAGATTTTGGGCTGTCTGCAACTGCATCTTAATTGCTAGACTAAGCCTCACTTCCTAGTCATATCTTAAAGGTTTTGTGTGACATTATTCTTGTGTTCCTTTTTATGATTTTTCAGAGGATTGCTTGAATTTGAGCCACAGGGAGTGTGCTCAGTGTCAGAGTGAAAGTGGAAAACTATATTGTTTTTATTTTTCTGTTTTCAATACCTGGCTCTCATTTCTCTGCAGTCATCCGAAACCAGAAGGCCTGGCTGCTGCCAAGAAGCTCTGTGAGAATCTCCTGCAGACAGTGAGTAGTTTTTGTCTGAGTATTTTGAAGATCTGTGCTTTCAGATCGTCTACCCCTGCCATATGAGTTACCACACACTGTGACAGCAGGATACCTGATTCCGTCACAGTGTGAGGCTCCAGAGTCTGAACTCGGGGTGCTGGCAGCCCAGTCACTTCAGTGGTTGTTGGGAGAGAAACTGTCTCATGCTGTCTTCTGTTGTGCTGGCTAGCCTGGTATTCTTTGGCTTGTGTTAGCATAACTTCAACCTGAGGATCAGGGTAGGGGTGGGCATTTGGCAAAGTAGTTAGGCTGCCATTTAAGTCTCCTGCATTCCCCTGGAAGAGTTCTGGTTTAAGTCCTGGCTCCTCTGCTTCAGATGCTGCTTCCTGCCAGTGTACACTGTGGGAAGTAGAAGATGATGACTCAGATGTTGGGTCCCTGCCATCCATGTAGGAGATCTGAGCTAAGTTCTGGGCTCCTGACTGTAGCCTGGAGACATTGCAAGGATTTACGGAATGAATCAGTGGGTGGAAGATCTGTATCTGTTCAAATGCAGTGAAGATAAGTAAGCTTTAAAAAAACAAAGTGAGTGAACTATGAAAGTTTAAAAATGTGTTAGCCATGTACTTGAGATAATTTCTCATTTGCTTGTCCACTCTATTCTATAAATCATTAACTAAAAATTAAGCCAAAGGATGAGTTTTATGGCACTTAAAGGAACTGGGTTTGACGTTAAATGTATTGTACCTTGTATTCTCTGGCATTTAGAGGTTCCTTATTGGGAAGGCTTTCTCCTCCCCTCAAAGATTCAGTCATTTACTTGAAACATACAGAAAGAGAGGGAAAGGCACAGATTTTCCATCTGCTGACTTATTCTCTAGATGGTTGCAACAGCCAAGGCTGGACCGGGTTGAGCCAGAAGCTTCATCGTAGTCTTCCACATGGATGTAGAGGCCAGACACTTGAGCCATCTTCTGTTGCTTTTCCAAGGCCATTATTAGCAGGGAGCTGGATCAGAAGAGCAGCTGGAACCAGTGCCCCTATGGGTTGCTGGTGTTGCATGCCATGACTTCACTTTTTATGCCACAACACCGGCTCTGGTATATTTTCTTTATATATAAAATTGATTTACCCAATTCTTGGATAAATTCTTTAGCTGTTTGTTTTTGCTGAAGCTACTAATTTAGTTTGATGCTGGTAATGAAAGATAAGTGAAGGAAAAATGTCAAGTCTTAATTACGCTGAGCTGTTTGAGTACAAATCTCCTGATAAATAAGAAAAATGAATTTTTGCTGGTATATAAACAGCTTCAGAATTTCCTGACTAAAACTTGTAGGACTTTGAGTGATTTTTATACCCTGAAGTTGAGACTGGCTTGGGGGATTTAGGGTTATTTGTGCTTCTGATTCTCAAAAGTTAGCTTAATAATTTATAGACCTGCCTTATTAAAAATTACTAAATTAGACCCAATATAGTTGGAATAGCAGTGTAAATATTTTCATTTCCAAGTGCTTTTGTCCTAGTAGCATTTGATCAAGCCCTTACTAATAACACAGTTAGGATCATCTCTCATATTAATGTTTTTGCTCTTTTTTTTTCTTTAGGTTCATGCTGAATACTCTAGATTTGTGAATCAGATTAATACTGCAGTGCCTTTACCAGGTGTGTATGTTGTTTTGTTAGAGGCATTTATATTTATTTATATGTAACTGATACTTGAGGCTAGTCTTAATTGTGCCAGGGCACTAGTTATGTTCGTATCAGCTTAGGATAATTTGGAAAGCCATTCATGCCTCGATGTTTTTCTTCCCAAAAATATTTTAAGTTTAGTGTTCAGCTAAAATGTCTCGTTCTGCTGCAGCTGATTAAACACTTTTTTTCTTCCCCCTCAGGCTATACACAACCCTCTGCTATAAGTAGTGTCCCTCCTCAGCCACCATATTATCCATCCAATGGCTATCAGTCTGGTTACCCTGTTGTTCCCCCTCCTCAGCAGCCAGTCCAACCTCCGTACGGAGTACCAAGCATAGTGCCACCAGCTGTTTCACTGGCACCTGGAGTCTTGCCAGCATTACCTACTGGAGTCCCACCTGTGCCAACACAATATCCGATAACACAAGTGCAGCCTCCGGCTAGCACTGGACAGGTAGGATGCCAGGGTATGCAGTGTAACGATGAGTTTGGGGGAATCTTGGATGGGGGGAACGGGACTGAAAGGTGGAGGTGTTCTAGAAATACAGCGTGAAGAGTTTTTTCGCCTAGTCTGTTCTTACAGTTAGCTAGGGAATAATAGGTGTGTGTATGTCAACACATGTACACACTTGACATCAAATAATTTAAAATGCAGGCTATCAGCAAACCTTTTTTTTTTTTGCCTCATTCATTTATGTATTTTCACTTTGGTTGGAAGGCAGGCATACAGATCTTCATCTGTTGACTCACTCACTAAATGCTTGTAACATCTGGCTTTCGGTCAGGCTGATGCCAAATGCGTAAAACCCAATCTGGGTCTCCCATGTGGGTGGAACTCACAGGCATTACCTGCTGCCTCCCTGGGTTCACATTAATAGGAAGCTAGATTGAGAATGGGACTGGGATGCGAAGTAGGCAATCTGACATGGAAAGTGGGCATCCCAAGTGACTTTTTATGTTTTTTTTTTTTTTTTAAAGATTTATTTTTATTATTTTTTTATTGGAAAGGCGGATATACAGAGAGGAGAGACAGAGAGGAAGATCTTCCATCCGATGATTCACTCCCCAAGTGAGCCGCAACGGGCCGATACTATGCCGATCCGAAGCCAGGAGCCTCTTCCAGGTCTCCCACATGGGTGCAGGGTCCCAAAGCTTTGGGCCGTCCTCAACTGCTTTCCCAGGCCACAGGCAGGGAGCTGGAAGGGAAGCGGGGCTGCCGGGATTAGAACCGGCGCCCATATGGGATCCCGGGCGTGCAAGGCGAGGACTTAACCACTTGCGCCACCGCGCTGGGCCCTGTTTTTTTTTTTTTAAGATTGATTTATTTTACTTGAAAGAGTTATAGAAACAGGGAGAAGCAGAAATCTTCCATCCTCTAAATACTCCCCAAATGGCTGCACTGGCCAAACCTGAGCTGATCTGAAACCCCAAGGACTTGAGCCATCTTCCATTGCTTTTCCAGACCATAAGCGGGGAGCTGAATGGGACATGGAACAGCTGAGGCTCAAATTGGCACCCCATAAGTGACAACTTAACCATTGAGCAAATCATCCCTGACAAACTTTGTATCAAATACTGGACGGTACATATTTTAGGCATTATGAGCCGTATAGTCTATCACAACTACATTCCACTGCGTAAAGACAGCTTTACTCCAATAAACCTTATTGATAAAAATGGGCAGCTGATTAACAGTTTACATTCCTTTAGCTTTGCGGTGGTAGCAGTCCTCAAGGTGGAGACTGGTCCATGACCACTGAGACCCCCGCCCCCTCACCTCAATATTTAAAACTTAGCAATTATAGTTTAAAATCTACTTACAAAAATGAATAAATAAATCTATTTACTTGTATTATCCTGGTAAGGCAGACACAAAGATCTTCCATTAGTTTTCTCCCCAGAAAGCATGCATACAGCTAGAACTAGACCAGGCCTACTTGAAGAACCTGGTACTCCATATGGGCAGCAGGGACTTGGGTACTTGAGCCTGTCGGGGTGTGCGTTGACTGTGAGGGGAGGAAATGACCTTGTACCAGGCTTATCAATATGGGATGCAGGCATCCCGAACAGCTGTCTCACCATTTTTAGGGAAGGAAATACTGTATCATATGCAGGTGTTACTAGATTAAGGGATACATGAACTTTTCCAGCCTGAAGGATTGCAAGTACTGGTATGTTTCATGGTTTCTTAAATTGTGTAGGGAAATTTAAGGAAAAGAATGAATGTCCTGCTCATTTGGATGAATTACATATAGTACATCAGGGGAGATGTTGGGAGCATGGTGATGGATTTATGGCAAGCCCTTCTCTGTGGGCCTCTCATAGTGAATCATGCCAAAGTAAATGGCAGCCTCGAACCATTGCCCAGCTTCCTTGCCTGTGGACTGTGAGCACTGATGAAGGCTGCACAATATGGAAAAGAAAGGCCTTATGAACTCCACTCTTGATGATGATCCCTGGTCATAGTTAATTTGCCTTGCCTAATTAAACATGTAGTTCCCCGGCTTTGAGCTGTGGTTCTTTATAATCAAGAAACCCCAAGACAGAGCAATTCAAAGCTGGGCATTAGGGTTGCTAAGATTCAGCATGTTTTCCTGTTGTAGTGTTTGGTGTTTTTTTTGTTTTATTTTGTTTTGTTTTGTTTTTTTGGTACATTTTTTTAAGTGGTTTTTTTACTTGGAAAATTAGAGTTATACAGAAAAATTGATGTTTTATCCACTGCTTCACTCCCCAAATGGCTCCAGGGTTGGGATGGTGTGAAGCCTGAAGCTAGGAGCTTCTTCTGAGTCTCCCTATGAGGGTGCAGGGACCCAAGACCAAGTCGGTTCATCCTATGCTGCTTTCCCAGGCCATCAGCAGGGAGCTGGATTGGAAGTGGAGTCACGGTACCCATATGGGATGCTGGCAACACACATGAAGATTTAGCCAGCTAGGACTACTTTCAGGGATCCTTTGTATAGTTCACTACCAGGGAGGTTTCTGAGTAGAGCACTGGAAAACTAAGAATTAGTGTGCTATGCCACCGCCCATACCTGTTTTGACTAAGTGTTATAGTGATTAAGATGACCCAGGTAGTAAGTTAGCTGTTAATATTTACATTTAAGGAATTTTCCTTTTAAAAGTGCTTATGTTTCTCTAATACCATATTTTTTGTTGGTCCTTCCTCCTTTTTGAAACAAACTCGTTTGTTTATTTTTATTGCAAAGTCAGAGATACAGATAGGAAGAGAGACAGAAACATCTTCCATCTGTTGATTCCATCCCCAAGTGGCTGCAACGGCCAGAGCTGAGCCGATTCGAAGCCAGGAGCTTCATCTGGGTCTTTAATGTGGGTGCAGGAACCCAAGGCTTTGGGCCATCCTCCACTGCTTTCCCAGGCCACAAGCAGGGAGCTGGAAGGGAAGCTAGGCAGTTGGGATTAGAGCCAGAACCCAGCCAGAGCCCGTGTGGGATCCCAGCACACATGCAAGGCAAGGACTTTAGCCAATGGGCCCTTGAAACAAACTTGTAAACCATTAGTCAATGGTAGTATTGACTTCGTAATTTAGGAAATCCAAGAAAGTGGCAAATGAAATTGATCCTGCCACAGATAGTAGCATTTTTTTTTTAGTTATTTATTTTTATTGGAAAGTCAGATTTATAGAGAAGGAGAAACAGAAAGATTTTTCATGTGCTGGTTCACTCCCAAATGGCCGCAAAGGCCAGAGCTGAGCCGATCTGAAGCCAGGAGCCAGGAACTTCTTCTGGGTCTCCCATGCAGGTGCAGGGTCCCAAGGTCTTGGGCCATCCTCCACTGCTTTCCCAGGCCACAGGCAGGGAGCTGGAAGGGAAGCGGGGTTGCCGGGATAGAACCGGCACCCATATGGGATCCCAGGCGTGCAAGGCAAGGACCTTAACCACTGCGCCACCGCGCCGGGCCCGATAGAAGCATTTGTGATACAGAAAGAGCAGCTCATGATGATTAAAGGACTTTGAATAAGAAGGTCCTTGTGTGATGACTTGTAAGTAAAAGATTAGGCATTTTAATGTTTGGGGTTTTTAAATGCCTTTTACAGCTTCATTTAAAAATTTTTTATATTATTATTTATTTTTATTACAAAGTCAGGAAGATCTTCCATCCGATGATTCACTCCCCAAGTGAACGCAACTGTGCCTATCCAAAGCCAGGAGCAAGGAACCTCCTCCAGATCTCCCGCATGGGTGCAGGGTCCCAAGGCTTTGGGCCGTCCTCCACTGCTTTCCCAGGCCACAGGCAGGGAGCTGAATGGGAAGCAGGGCTGCAGAGATATGAACCAGCTCTCATATGGGATCCTGGCGTGTTCAAGGCAAGGACTTTAGCCACTAGCCCACGCCGCCGGACCCAGGCACCTTAATGTTAATTGTCAGATTTGCCCTTAATACATCAAATGGGCAATGATTTTTTTTTCCTGATATGTCAAGGCACTGTATGCAGATTGTCACCTTCGTGTTTTCCAAGGATGGAGGTGGGAAGGCTGGGAGAAAGTTAACCTAATTATACAGGAGGGAAACTGGGGCCCTAAAGGTTGGAAGGATACATGTGTGTATGTCCTGTAATCATGGCTCACTTACCTTTCTAGTTGCATAGTCTCACACATTTTTCCTCGTCGGTTTGTTTTGGTCCCAGAGTCCAATGAGTGGTCCTTTCATTCCTGCTGCTCCCGTCAAAACAGCTTTGCCTGCTGGGCCCCAGCCCCAACCCCAGCCCCCACTCACAGCTCAGCCCCAGGCTCAGAAGAGGCGATTCACAGAGGAGCTACCAGATGAACGGGAATCTGGACTTCTTGGATACCAGGTTAAATACAGTCCCCAGTCTTTGTTTCCTCATCTTATCCTCATACTGTGTTCTCCCTTTAAGGAAGTTTACGTTCATGTCAGCTGCCCTCCCAGTAACAAAGAATTCTGCTTTCTAGGATCTGTTGAAGTTAGGGTCCCCCCCAAGGATTAATTTAGAAGAAGGGTGATTCCCTTTGGGTGGGTTTTGACTCTTATCCATGTGGAATGAATGCAGAGCTGTCCACCTAGAAGGAAGTACCCCAGGACTAGCATCTGCAAGGAGGCCCGCACGTCCTTGTATTCATGCGGCCAGTGCCCTGTGCATCTCAGTCTACCAGTGTGTGGTTTGTATTTAAAGCTTTGGCTTTCAACTTATTATTTTCTATTTCTGCACTAAAAGGGCATTTCTCTCTTCAGCCACCACCTCCAAGAGACAGCCAGAGATGGAATAGTTCTGTGCATACACAATTATAAATGGGACCAATCATGAACATAAAGCTAAGATTATTAAAATATAGAAGTTTGGTACAATTGTATCAGAAGCAACTTTAAATTTTGTCAGAATTATTAAGGTTTTCTTGATTTTAAAAAAAGGCATTTATAAACAGATTAATACAAACAAATGAGTTATGGGCAGTCAACTGAAAACAGACCTAGCAGAATGATTTTATGATCCCTGATTAGGTCCTACAAGGACAAAAAAAATCCCTACTTTGACAGCAGTTGTGCTCCAAGTCCTTAAGACCTGTGTAGTACAGTTTGCTGCAATTTTTCAGGAAGATGAGGCACTTGACAGTTACATTAAGGAGCTAAAGTCAATACAGCAGTTGTAGATTTGCTAATGCCACTGTATTTTTCTGCTCATAGCATGGACCCATTCATATGACTAATTTAGGTACAGGCTTCTCCAGTCAGAATGAGATTGAAGGTGCAGGATCGAAGCCGGCAAGTTCCTCAGGCAAAGAGAGAGAGAGGGACAGGTAAGTGGAACAATTCCCCAAACGTATGCGCATAGGTTGTTTGCACAATTGCTATGAATGTGATCATGGCTACTGGTATCAGTCATTTGAAGCAAACTCTTGTTGGTTGCCATAGAGTTATGGCAGAGATGACATGCTCAGGATAGGCAGTGACTGAAGTGTTTAAAAATGATCAAGCTGTTTTGAGTTTGAAAATGTCATGCATAGCGACTCTTTGTGAGTGGGGAGTCCTGCCTACCCCCCAGTGCTTCACCTTTTTGCTTTGCACTGCAGTTTAGTCCTCTCTAGCAGGGTCCGGCTGTGTGGATGGGTCTCGTTATTTTGGACTTTGATAACAGCTCATAAGGGAGATGCGGGGAGGGAGAAAAGGTTAAAATCAATGGCTTTAGTGAACTTGAAGGGTTATCTGCATGCATTTATTATTATTCCACTTTTTTATATTGGATTAATGTGAAATTTGAAAGAAAGTTTGATTGTGTCTTTTTTAACAGGCAGTTGATGCCTCCACCAGCCTTTCCAGTGACTGGAATAAAAACAGAGTCTGATGAAAGGAATGGATCTGGGACCTTAGCGGGGAGCCATGGTGAGTGAGGTGTAGCTGGGGAGCAGGGCAGTCAGCAGATAGGGCTGGCTTCAGCTCTTAGCTTTCTAACCTGATGTCATTCGGGTTAAACATCCAACTTCCGTAATCTACTGGCTGATGAGAATACTCTATTTATGTGGACAGCACATAGTTACACAGCCTTTTATTCCCAACTGACGTGTAGAAAAGACCATTCAGCTTGCATTTTGTATGTAGTGCTAATAATGCTAAGGCTAAGAAATACTAATAATTGGTAGGTCATCTCAAAATTCTGTTGCCTGTGTGGTCTGAAGGTAACATGATCCAGAATTAGTCCGTACTGAGTTTTCTTTGGGCTCTGAGCCACATCTCCCCTCGTGGCTCTGTTGGTCAATAATGGCCAGCCTTGGTTGTCAGGAAAAATGTTGCCTGTCATCAGTCCAGAACTCCAAGTCAAGCTGTGGTGCCTAGAGGCATTTTTGTTCTTTGTAGTCATGTGAAAGTGAACAGAAGAAAGTACATTTTTTTTCTTTTCTTAACTTCTTTTCTTTTAACTCTTTAAAAGGTGAAATATCAGCCCCAAGAGACTCACTTGCTAACTTTCCTTTTTTTCTTTTTTTTTTTTTTTCTCTTTTTTTTTGTGTTTCTTTTTTCTTTCTCTGTTTTCTTACATGGTTCTGGTGGATTCACATTTGCTGATGCTGGTGCTGTTTTTCGTGTGATCTTCAACGTTTTTGGGTGACCATTGACCCTGTGACCTCAATCTGGTGTTCAACTAACCACTTACAATTAACATCTTTTTTTAATTAACGAATTTATGGTATTATCTTTTTTTTTTTTTTTTCCTTTTGTCTTGGTGGGGAATGGGGTTGGGGTTATTTTTCTCTTTTCTAGATTACCCAGCCAAGAAGATGAAAACTACGGAGAAGGGATTTGGCTTGGTGGCTTATGCTGCAGATTCATCTGATGAAGAGGAGGAACATGGAGGTCATAAAAATGCAAGTAGTTTTCCACAGGGCTGGAGTTTGGGATATCAATATCCCACGTCACAGCCACGAGCTAAACAACAGATGCCATTCTGGATGGCCCCGTAAGAGACAGTACAATGGAGCTATGACCCTCCGTGACTCTTAGCAATAATGCATGCATTTGATTTACCAAGACTTGGGAAACTTGAACTTGAAACTACCATGGACCTTTGCAGAAGTTAGAGATACAGTGTCCTCTCTGATTAAAAGATTCCGTTTTTTTATATATATATATATATATAAATTTTTATTTCTGCAGTGGCGTAACATCTGTTGAAGTACCTAAAATCACAAATTTGTCTCAGAAGCTTTTTAACAGTTGGTGAGATGTGCTTGACCCACAAAGCATCAGAGTCATCCCCAAATATAAACATTTGGTCTGGTCCAGCCTTTTCCACTCTGGAAACCCTAACTCTGATGTAAAGAAGTTTTTGTCTTTTACTGCTACTTGGTCGATTTTGATAATAACTGGTTACAAACAAAGCCTTACTGTTTATTAGTGGGGAAGTGATTTTCAGGCCATCCCTTCCTTTCATTACTTAATTCTAGAAGATCCTTCTTCCTATTTCATTTTTCTTTTGGGAAATGCTGTTTTGCTAATTTAAAATGATCAGAGCTAGCTGGATCCTGACTAGGGAAATGAAGTTATTTTTTCATTATGACTTTTTTAATCGGGATGGTCCGATGTGGGCCCCTTCAGGCACTTGCGTCTCAGAGCACGGTTGCTATTTTTATTGCCCTTTGAAGCTCCTTGTCTTCAGCTGAGTCCGAGAAAGCTGCCTGACCACAAGCTGATGAGAACTCTTCAAAGATACGGAACACCGTGGTCTGTCTCCCAGAACTGGTTGTGGCTAACAGGAGAGAGACTGAACTACTGACAGTAGGATGGTGGACCTAGAGACTGAAGTTGCAACATGTTCTTTTTCTTGGCATTGCAGGTTTAGCAGAAGAACCTTTTTTGTATCAAATATTGATGTGTGAAAGTGAAAGAGCTAGTCTGCTGACCTGGGAGTAGTTTGAAATACTGAACTGTCATTTTTGCACATTTGAATACTTTGCAGGCTGGCTTTGTATAAACTTACTCTCTGGTTTCTTATATGTTGTAAATATTTAGACCACAATTTCATTATAAATAAATGTATAAAGATTCTGCTTGTGTTGTATCTCTTCTTTGCATTCCACACCCACCTATACAGTGAAATTCAAGTTTTACATAATGCAGTTGTAACTTCATCTAGAAAAATGACATACAGATTGCAAAGTCTGCATACAGTTCCAAAAGTTTTGTAACTGCAAAAATGTGTAGGTTAAATTGTTAAGGATTGTCATGTTTTAGCTGACCTGCAATAGGGAGTTAACACACACACAAAAGGAAATGCAAGTTATTTTGGAAAGACATTCTGAAAAGGAAGAGTAACAGGCAGAAATTACATCAAAACTTGTCAGTACAGTTTTTCTTCTGTACATATTTTGCTGCCTTAGTGCAGGTGAACACAATTAATACAGTGCCTAATGTTGGTGAGCTTCATTCAAGACCACTTGAACCTTTTCCTACCAGAGCAAAACAATATTAACATTTGTGTATCTTCCATATGTGTGTAAAATACATCTAGAATTGATCACAGAGTGACTGGACTGTGGCAGCCCCTCTGGGAAAGGGCCTCTTGTGCTGTGGAAGGGCTCTCCAGGAGGTGGGGGCTCGCCTGTCCCCCTGCCAGTCCCCCTTTGCGTCTGTTCCGCCTTTGAGATCTGCACGCAGCATTGGGGAGCCCCTCTCTCCCAGGGGCGCCACGTCCCCTACCCACAGCGGTCCAGGTCGGAGACCAGGAAGGCGGGCGGCCGGGCAGGGCGAGGGCGGGGCTGGCGCCATGGCTGGGGCGCCCCGCCTCCCGTCACACGCCGCCCCAGTGGCGCCATCTTAGCCGGCCGTGGGAGGGGTCACAGGTCAGTGCCGGCTCCGGCAGGGAGGAGGGCGAGGTGGGCTGCCGGGGCTCGGCAGGGGCAAGGCGGTGAGGTGCGCTACCGGGTGGGCGACAGGAGAGGGCTGGAACCCCGGGGCTCAGCGGACGGGAGTGAGCCCCTGGGGACCCACCCCCCACTCCTCCCCATTCTTAACTCTGCCCTCTCAGCCCCTCCCGATTGTGTTGGTGCCCCATTCTGAAGAGAGATTTCAGGTTTTTGTGTTTGACCTTTTCGGAAAATGTAGTAAGCGGGGACCCTTGCCGCACCACCGGACCGCACTGCCTATAGCCAGAGGGTAAGGCTATGGACTTGCTTAGGGTTAGGAAGGCGCGAGCGGGGGCAGGCCAGGGTGTGTCTGAGCGGGGAGGGCACTGTTGGGGGCTGCTCACTTCGTGTCCTGGATCCGGTCATTTTCTCCTCTCTCTGTAGGTGACTTTTCCTTGGGGGACAGCCAAGGATTCCCCAAGAAGACAATGGACTCCGGAGCTCGCCCAGCTGGTGGCTGCAGTAGCAACCCCGCAGGGCTGTCCCGGGAGTATAAATTGGTGATGCTGGGTGCTGGTGGCGTAGGGAAAAGTGGTAGGTAACACTTTTCAAAGACGAAATGGTCTCAGCCAACCCCGATGGGCTCCTGGCTGTTGTGCAGTGTGGCTACCCTGAATTTCTTCAGTGGGTCACCTCCATGAGGGTTTAATTTTGCTTTCTTGTTTTGAAGCCATGACCATGCAGTTCATCAGCCACCGCTTTCCCGAAGATCATGACCCCACCATTGGTAAGCCCGTTGGCCTTTGGGGGTTTCCTGTAAAAGTATCTTTGTGAATGGCGGTTTTTAAAAATAATGTATAGCTATTTAAACTTTTTAATTTTTAGTATGGTTTACATAGTTAGGAGGGATGCATCCCCGTGTGAGAATCTCATTAGGGTGAGGAGGGTCCAGGAGTGGAAGAAGATGGGTGGTATAAATATTTCAGTTTTTTTTTTTTTTCTCCTGTGTGCAGGGAAGGAAGGGGAAGGCGCCTTGCCGTCAAACTACAGCAGCACCCAGGGATGGGGGATGGTCGTTTAATGACGCCTTAGGGACCCCATTGTGGGGAAGATGTTCTGAGGGTTTTAACTTGAGTGGTTTTGGTAGTTCCGGGACACTGTTGGTTTGGTTGCACCAGGGTTGAGAAAATCTTTACAAGGCCTGTTGGCCGACTGAGTCCACCTTAGTGCATCTGCAGCCCCAGACACTTGCTGCAGAGCTGGGTAGCTATCTGTATTTTTAAGCCTTTTTTTTTTTTTTTTTTTTTTTTTGGTGTCAGGTTTGGCTAGAGACAAGGGTTTCATTGCAGTTGGTTATTAGCTGACTGTGTCTTCTTTTTCTGTACTTTTACTTTCCTTAGTCTCTACCATATTAAATAATGGGCCAACTTTCTTTGTCTTCTTTTTAATGGTTGGTATACTCTGTTGTCACATTAAAGGAACAGCTTACAGGCCACTGAAGGAAGGACGCTTTTTCTCGCTGTCCCTTCCCTAAGGGTCGACTTAAGACTGACCCTAACTATGAGTCAGCTGCTTGCTGGTTTGAACTTCCACAAAAGGAAGCAGAAAAACAAGTAGAGCCAGCCTACTGAACTCTTACAACCCAGACTTGCAAAGCCTGGGCTTCTTCCACTCAAGCCCTTCGTTTACTTCCCTATGTCTCAAGTTTGTTCTGTAGTCATGTCTTCTCCCATGTATTTTATTTTTTAAGAGATTTATTTAGGAACTGGTACAGTGGCATAGCAAGCTAATCTCTGCCTGCAGTGCCAACATCCCATATGGGCACCAGTTCATATTCTGGCTGCTTCACTTCCCATCCAGCAGCCTGCTTGTGGGCTGGGAAAGCAGTAGAGGATGACCCAAAGCCTTGGGACCCTGCCCCTATGTGGAAGAACCAGAAGAAACTTCTGGCACCCCTTCAGGTCAGATCAGCTCTGGTTGTTGCAGCCATTTGGGGAAGTAACAGGCAGATGGAAGATATTCTTTCTCTGTAAACATTTGCCTTCCAAATGAAAATAAGTAAATCTTTAAAATGTTATTTATTTATTTATTTATTTGAGTCACAGAGAGAGAGAGAGATCTTCCATCTTCTGGTTCACTCTTCCAATGGCTGCAACAGGGCTGAACTAGGCCAAAGCTATGAACCAGGAACTCTAATCCAGGTCTCCCAACATGTTGTCAGGAGCCCAAAACACTTAAGCCACCTCTTACCTTGCCAGGCACATTAGCATGGAGCTGGATTGGAAGCAGAGCACCTGGGACTGAACCCAGCATTCTCTTACATGGTGCTAGCACCAGCTTGCAGCATCTTAACCTTCTGGCCCACAATACTGACTCTTCCTTTTCTTTTGTCAACCTAACTCTTTTGTTGTCAGAATGCTGACGGGGTAAATAGTGATTATGTTTTGCCTGTTAGCAGCTGTAAATTGTTATTCTCTACAAACATGCATTACTATCATTCCTAGACCCTAAGGAAGCGAATTTGCTGCTGTTAGATTGTACCCTAGCAAAAAAAGTAAAACTGGGATGGGTCTGGAGGAGGGCACCAGGAGTCTGCCTTGCTCCTGCGGGCCCCAGTGTGTGAGCCCCTAGGAGGAGCCAACCTTGGGCTCTGCAGTGCCATGCAGTGTCTTGTGTTAGCCCATTTTTGGACTTGGATATTTTATATTGTAGGTGTCTTCATGGGTTGGGAAAATAAGAGCTTGCTTCCTGTACTGCATCAAATTTAGAACCTATTTCAGGGATTCAATGGTGGAAGTTCTAGGAATAACCTCAATTTATGGATTAGGATGAATTACTCAGGTACAGTCAGAGGCACATTTGTACCCGTTAAGAGGGACTTTCTGAAAATCAGTCTGTAGGAGAATAATGGTAAACTAAGTGCATTTTGAACTTTGGCTATAAAAACAAAAACCTTAACGTTGTAACCAGTACAAATGTAAGTTGAAAGTATGGAGTTGCTGGCTTTGGCTTAGTATGTTGTAGCCATTTGGGAAGTAAACCAGTGGGTCAGAGATTGTGTGTGTGTGTGTGTGTGTCACTCTGCCTTTCAAATAAGAAATCTTTAAAAATAAGGGAAAACAGTCCTTAGTACATACAGTGTACTCTACTATTTACACATACATATGTATTTCAACATTTTACATTTTTATAGTAATTTCTATTTTTATTTAGCTTTCTACTTATTTTAACGCTGATTTCAATCTGGTAAACTGATTTGTGAACTCACTAATCCTAGCAGAGCATGGTCTATAGTTTGAGAAACATTGATGTGGAGGACTCTTCATTGTTTCTTATTTGAAGCTGTATTTAGTTATTTGAAAGGGAGAGGGAGAGACAGAAGCCCTTCCATAAGCTGATTCACTCCTCAAACAGCCAAAGTCCCAAATGGATTACAGGTGCTCAAGCACTTGAATCGTCAGCTGCTGCTTTCCCAGGTGCATTAGCAGCGCGCTGGATCAGAAGAGGAACAGCCGGGGTTCAAGCTGGTGTTCCCATTCAGAATGCAGGTATCTCAAGCTGCAGCTTAACCCTTTCTACAAGGAAGCTAGCCCTCTTGGACTTCTCGTCTCTGAGGAAGAATGGGGAGCAGGTGTTCCAGGGAGATTGTTAGAGAGAAATCAGTGTGTGCGCAGCAGTTGTTCTTGAGCAATAGACATGTTGGGTGTTTTTTTTTTACTTTCTGCATTTTTCAAAGGTAGTATTAAACTATGTAAAAGAAAAGTTTGCTGTCATAAAAGAAATTGTAACTATGGATTATTTAGAAAATACAATAGTATAGTAAATTTGTTTAAAAAAAAAGAAAGAACTATATAGCACACGGTTAAGGACATAGGCTTTTGAGTTGGGCAGCACAGGGCTTTAAAAGGCATCTGATATTTTAGCAATGGGGAATGTCCAAGCCGGCAGACCATGTACAGCTGAGAGAATCATTTGGTCTGGCCCTGCCAAGGGAACCACATGTGGGACTCAAAATTCAACAAACTATAGAAGGATAGTGAATGATGTTGTAAATTTAAGGAAGATAACAATACTTCATTGTATTTTTGTGCCTACTGAATGAGTTAATATGTATAAATTGGTTAGGATAATGCCTGGCATGTAACAACTTAATACTCAAATTACCTTTCTAGCCCAATATGAAAAAAAAAAAATCTTTCAGAA